CTCGATCTAACAAGGTGTATTCTTGTTCCAATCCAAACAGCGGCTTCTGGTCAGCTATTGTTTCCATAGTTTTCTCACAGTCTGCACGCCAATTAGTCTCTAAAGATATACAGATTTGAATATGCTTCTCTGTGATTTCAACGTCTTACGTGTTGGCTTTTTCTGTGCATCGTACGTTTCACATAGTACCAGTTTGTTCTCTGCTCCCAACATAAATGGATCTTTAAACATCGCCACTGGTTTTAAATAAACATCCGAATTTCCACCATGAGCTTGTCCTGTCGAACTTCCATCGAACATCCACCAGGAAAGTTCTTCAACACTCTTTGGTTCACTTTTAAGAGTTTTTGTCTTGGATCGCACCTGTTCTCCAGTGCCATCTATCCAAATGTAAGTGGCCAATATATTATTCGCCGGTTGTGGTAGGGACAGGTATTTGTTTGTAAATAGTCTGTCAAGTGGACGGATATCCGTTGTACACGAGATTTTGAATGCGGTACGACATGGGATCACGACGAATGGTGGTGATCCGAGAAACTAAAAAGGTTGAAAAGTATAACGAACAAGAGTCGGAAGATATTTTATTTGCTTATGCGTACCATCTTTAGCAATGCTCGATGCGATTGACCGAAATACTTCATTATCTTGTAATAAAGTCAAAGTGCGCTGCGGATACGAACCAAAGACGTTTAGTGAAATGTTCTAAAATGAATTTTCTCAATTTGCTCTTCCGTTTCTTCTGATTCCAATGAAAGGGAGAGGGAAACATGTTCATCCGTTTCTTTCAGCTCTTGACAACTAACGAAACGTCATGTGTTGTCTGTATGATCAGATGATCAAGGCAAAGAAAAATCACCGAAGAGCACTTTCGCAAGGAGTGTTTAAGTTCAATGAAATTTGGATTTTCGGACTCAGTATAATGTATTGCATACAAATATGTCTTTGTTGAGATTTTGGAAGGTAATTCTGCTTCTAAACCAAAATCTCAAGCCAAAAGTCTACTGAGTAAGTGGAGAAATAAACAAACCTTGCGCGAGAACCGAAACGGATACAGACAAATTCAGGCATCAGTCAAACGATCACACAGAACGTATAGAGACGATAGTGCACGCCAAAAGAAGAGGGTGTGTGTGCCTGTCGGTTGGGTGTATATGTCGATGTGGGTGTGAGAGTGAGTACATCAAAATCCTTGTCGTTTTTGGATGGAACTGTGATAGTGCAGTAGTCACTGATTGTACGGTGATGTGGGCGTGGGTGTAAGCGTCGGTCTAATTTTAATGAAAAAGGCGAATTAACAATGTAGTGTAGAAAAGAAATAAGATCAAACAGATATTAAAGGGAATATGATTTATGGTCAGTAAAATAAATGAAATTAATATAAAGTCAGCCAATTTAATGATTGATCAGTAAATTACTTAAACAGTCAGTTATTAATTAATTAGGTTTGTAAATAAGCTTAAAAATCATTAAATATAATTTATCAACAGCCCATTATATTAAAGGGTCAGTATAAAAACTGACATGGTTATAGAGTAAATCACTTTTGTTATTCTTTTCCTTTCTGTTCGCTTGTTCTACATATGTTCTCGTTCTTCTGATCTACTTCTGTTAAGCTACATATTTTGTGAATAAGAAGACCTATTGTTTTAATCCTTCTTATTATTCATTATTTAAAATAAAGGGAAAGAAGCTTGTGAGCTTCTTCTCCGGTCGCTGTCTTTATATATCCCTATGTATAAATATTTAGTATTTCTTGAATAAAAATAGAATATGTCGTGTTCACAAAACTTTACATATTTGTAACTATGGAAGTGGTACAAGTTGCTCAATATGAAAGTGATATATTAGATGAAAATGTGGTGGTAGAAGATCATAGAATAAATGGAAATAAAAGAACCATTAAGAGAAAGCAATCAGAATGTTGGGTTAAAAATGATGCATTTGATAAGGTTGACAAAGGAAAAGTATTAATTGCAAATCAATGGTCGAAATATCACGAAACGTTTATTACGAATGCAAGGAACTCAAACGTTGTAGTTCTAAATGCAATGCAAGAATTATCTGATGTGTCATGCAAATAGCAATAAAGTAACCATCTATGAATCTGAAGCTGAATACAAACATCACAATGGCGAAATTCGTAGTACTGATGAAAATGTTAAAAAATACATAAAGATTTGTTTCATGATGATATAAAGAAACCAAAGCAAATTGTTCAAACGCTTCAATTTAGGGAAAAAAAGATGTACCAATGTTAGCACAGCTAAACGATTATCGTGTCTATTATAGAATAAATGTGAAAACCTCGGACTTAAATCCGAGAGTTATGTGTACTTCAAAAAGTGAATGAGACAAATCAGTCATTCTAGAATGCGTGGATATACAAATTAGCTTGGCAAACCTTTTCTATAAACACTTGAATTCTATTGACTACTGCTCAACAAATAGGATTTGGGGGCGAATACAGCTCAGATTTGAACTCTCCGCCTTAATTCACCCTCAGAAAGTCGTTTTTTCTATANTTCGAATTAATAAAAATATTAATGATATTATTGACTTTATCTTTAATACAAAAAGAAAGAACATGAAAAATAGACCACACTTCGAAAATGCAGTTTACTTTCGAATTTTGAAATGAATGTAATTGGTACGCCAGAGTAAATGTCTATCAAAGCATTTTCTCAATATCGTCGTACTTTATCTTTTTTTTAAAGACTCACGATTCAATTTTCCAGCGGAACGTATTCCAAGTTTTGCTACAAGATGTTAAGTAGAGATATTACATATATAATACTGTGAGGCATGAACATGTCTAATTTTTAAAAACATTTTCTTCGGAACAATTCAGCATATTTTTCAATTTTTGCACTATATAACATGACAGAGTAATAGCTAGGTGCCTTCTGTCTCATAATATATATACAGGCTGGTTCAAAAGTACCGGGCAGTCTTTAATTGCGAATAACTTTTGATAGGGACAGGATAGAGAACTACAGTTTTCACCGTTCGAGAGTGAAGATCAAGATGTGTAGAACTGTAATATAAGATAATTCGACTTAGATCCTCAAGGACTTAAACCGATGGTTTTGATGAGCCAACGTATTCCGTAAGGTGGCTATATTGAATTTTTATGATTAGGTATGCATTCGATCCGCTAGTCGGACACCTTCCAAATTGTGCAAAGTATAGACTTTGAGAGTTACTCCTTCGAAAGTGATAGACATTCTACTGGAAGTTGTGAGCTGATTTTTCGATTTAATTTCTGTGAAAAAAAGTCACTTTTGTGCGTTTTTTTTATTTTATAAAAAAATACTCTTTTTTTCGGCAATTTATTTCGGAAAATTGAGTAAGAAAACTCTAGAAAACATGTCAAAAAAAACATATAATACATGATTCGATGTGTCTTCATCTCCTCTTTCGAATGATGGAAATCGCAGCCCTCTGTCTTATTCTTATCAACAGTTATTCGCAATCAAAGACTGCCCGGTAACTTTTGGATCAACATGTATATAGTGTAGTTCGTTTCAACCAAGTTCTTTTTTGACGCGAATATTACTTTATTAAAACTGATGCGAAAAACTCTCGAGGTGTCAAAGCACTTTTCGACCGAGACGATGCTCACTTGGTGAGTAATATAAAAGTCTAGAATGCTTTCGCCTTCTGGGCCTTCGTTCTTGAGATATCACAGTTTTTTCTGGGTTTTCAACAAAAAGTAGTGGCTCCTTTCAAGTTACGTAAGAACTTTTGACTTCAACCTTTCCACGAATAAAGTTCTCAATGAGATTAGTACATTGGTGAAGTTGTAACTTTTCTGTTGTCTCCTATCCTAAGCTCTTCAATGCTCGGAAATCTCGTATGTGTAACAGCAAACTTTGTTTATTTATCTACATTTCAAGAAAAGAAATAATAGAAAAGCTAAAACTTGTACCATCAACTAGTCTTATTAAGAACTTTGTTAATACAAAGTTCTAAATTGAAAGTCTCACATGACCTGAGAGATAATCGCAACCTTTTTGAAAAATACGGTTAAACCTCGATATCTCAAGGATGAAGGCTCAGAAAACCAAACTATTCTAGACTTTTTTATTACTCATCAAATGAACATCATCTCGATCGAAAAGCAAAGTTGACACCTGAAAAGGTTACCTTGTTAGCCGAAAACACTTAACACTTAGCTTTTTTTGCAAGATCTATTCGGGTAAAGAGGCTTATTTAAGTCCTACTATTTCATTCTGATGCATCATTCGTTTCTCTTCAAAATGAAATAAAGTCGAATTATATTGACTAACTTTTTTTGTCAACTAATGCAAGGTTTCGTGAGAGCTTCGCAATCACTGATTCAAGATCGTCCCGTGTATTTATAAAGTTTGTAATAAAAATCATTTCATTCATATGCCAAGTAATGATATAATAATTTTACTACTCTGATTGCAAGATAGAGCTTCTCAAGCGCTACAAGATTGAGGTGTGGGTGTGAGTATGAGTGAAGATAAAGCTGATACTGACATTTCGCTCACCTCACACCTCTTCTTTTTCAGAACAATTACTACTAATTTTAGAGATTACTTACTTTCATTAAAGAAGCACACAAAAAGGAAAGTAAATATTGATTTGTATGAATTGGATGGCCAATAGAAAAAATAACAGAAAAGAAAACAAATACAAAAGGATGGAGTAAAAATGAAATATGCACATTGATAGGTTTTCCTAGCTAGTGGAAAAGAGGGATTAATCTTATCAAAGCTTAGGACGTAATAAAAACATCAACAAGTATTGATAAGAGTTATTCTTTAAAGTTTCAAAAACGAAAAAACGTTGATTAAAAACATAAATCTCATAATATCTAAAAAAAGCAGAAAAAAATGGAAACAGACAGAAAACAAATTGAATTTTTCTCTTAAAAGCATACGAAATGGCAGCACTGAATTATTCGTAGAAAGTACATAAGGTAGTCTCTACAGAAATTGATCAGATTGTTTCGTGTTTCAACAAATATTTGTCTAATTTCCATCCGTTTCATCTAAACAAACTGTCTTGACTATAATGTTTGTGACAGCATATGGGTCACAATTGGCAGCCGGACGTCTATCTTCGAAAAAGCCGCATTGTTCTTCATCAACTTGACGCGGAATACGAATACTAACGTTACGCGATGCTGCTGCAGATGAAAATTGTTGATAGGAGGCTGTTTCATGCTTGCCCGTTAGACGACGAGTATTATCCAATCCTTGAGTCGGATCATAGTATTTCAAATGAGTACTGTGCCGACGAGACAATTTTTCAATTGCTTTTAAAATTGCTCTACAAATGAAAACGCTTTCAATAATCTACACAATATTTAAATATCAATCATCGTAAAATTATTTTCATCGTAGACTAAAGATGCGTGTCCGTTTTATCGGTGCTATTTCCGAAAGAAACAATTTTCGGATGAGAAAATGTTGTCTTTACAAGAGTTTTACTACTCATTCTCAACCATTGCAAACTATTTCTGGTATTCATTTCAAAAAGAAGGAACCAAGTCTGTTCAACAACTTTAAAAAGCAAAGAAACCAATACAACAACAATTTTATGATGCATGAAATTTTCCATAAGGGTTTGCGAACACTGACGATCATTGTATTTGATAAAGTAGATATTTCCTAGAACACGTTGACTTTTCGAGAAAAAAATGGCAGCCAACCTTTTCAAACTACGAAAAATGATCTCGTTCTTACTCAGATATAAAAGCAATAGAAAAAAAGTTCTTGGAAAACTTTTCAACTTAAATCAGGTGAAGTGAATATAAGAAAAAGATATCGATATTCATCCAACAGTTGTAAATATATGCTCGAGGTGAGTTGGATAAGATGAATAGTGTTGACATGCAGAAAAGATGTTAATTTGGTTGGTCGAACAATAACGAGCAAAAGTCATTTTGACAACATATGGCAATCGACACTAGATTCAAAAGGAACGCTCACGATTGAGATAAACAAGTTGACAGAAGCGAAAATTTTCAAGTATTATTAGATGAATTTATAGTGGTTGTTTCGTCGAAAAAGTCACAGATCTATACTAGAACATGGGTCCTTTGTTACTATTCAGTGGATTTTTGTTCTTGTGATCCATTCAAGCAGTGATTGCGATCTGCACCACTCTGTAAAAGAAGAGTCCTATTAAACCTTTTTAGGTTCTAGCCAAAACATCCGAAACTAAAAAAGTTCAGAAAAGGGTACAGAAAGCTAGAAGCCTAAAAGGTTCAGTATGGTTCGTTTCTTTTAGAGAACAGGGGTGACGGAGTGAGTTTCTGCTAGGAGAAACATGCATTTAGTGCTAAGTTTTCAAAAGGTGAGGTGACTCGACCAGCGTGTATTTCATCGTCTCTCATCTGCAGTAGTTTGAAATTACTCGAATATATTGCCTCGGTTATTTTGCTACTGCAAACACAATCTCGAAGAATTTTACGCATATATCATATCGTGGGAAATTTTGAAAACTCTAGAATCTATTGGAAAACATTATGGCACAAGCAGTGCAAGAGAAAGTTAAACAAGAGGTATGTAATGACTAATTCTTTTGCATTATTTCGTTATCTTTCCTACGATTCTGTCTATGAATACAATGCTAATGTGTTCTTACTACAAGAGAATGGTATTCAGCGACATATGTACAAGATGAAGCTCAGCCTTTATCCTTCTTGGGCATCTCCATGAGGCTTCTACCATGTTATGCAAAAGTATCTCCTGTCAACGTGAATTTTTATCGTTTGCAGAGCTCGATTGGCGGCTGTGCGTATGGTAGGATGTGAGTGTTGGATTCGTTAATTGTTCACACCTACACGTACATGGAGACTACCTTTTAGCTCGTTCCATGAGCGAAAGTTTGTAAAAATTCTATAGATTGTTCAAAAGATCAACTGGTCAAAAGATAGATGCTATTTAGGAAACATCAGCATACCGAAGCGATGCCATTGTACTGACTATTTCGTCAGAAGTGTTTTAAAGACTCAATAAACTATCATCAAACTCACTTGATTCCGCCTGGTTTTCGCATTTCCTCCACTGAAAAATTTGTATGGCATCCAGCTCCATTCCAATCGCCAAGATCTATGGGTTTTGGATCGAACGTGGCCTGAATTCCGTATTCTTCTGCGATTCTTTGTAGAATATAACGACTTATCCACAACTGATCGCTAGCAGCAATACCTAATGTCGGACCGATTTGATATTCCCATTGGCCAGGCATTACTTCAGCATTGGTGCCACCGATGTCCAATTCAGCATACAGACAAGCTCGATAGTGTGCTTCGACTAAATCTCGACCGTAAGCTTGACAAGCACCGACACCACAGTAATATGGTCCTTCAAAGATAGAAAATCGATGAAATAGATTTTTATTGTGTTGAGAGCTTCCTATTCGTTGCTCGATCTTTCACTTTTTATCATCAATAATGTTTGCTCAAGTCGAATATGGAAGAAAAATTTCACTTAAGTAAACTTTATACAATTGTTATTGACATACAATGCGATACTGACTGATATAAAAATACGGAAGTACTCTGGGAATATCATATGCTTTATGAATATGCATGTCTAGATCCAATGTAGAAGTGGAAGTAAGTAAATCCTTCATATCTGCACCACTATAACATAATCCTGTGTAATTACATAACTATATTCGTAATAGATCAAATGATTCTATATTAAAAAACATCTCTATTTCCAAGTCTAAATGATTATCGACATGCATCGAAACTGAATGTCAGTTGGAGTTATTGACTAAATACAAATGCATGCAATGATCTTCTTTCAAAGTATGTGAAGTCGTTTGAGTTCGTATCAATAAATTCCCATTTGAAACACATCACTGCATAATCATGTGTACTTGTTCTCACGAGTAGACTCCTAAAATCATACCCTAAGTGACATTGAAGAATCCGAAATGCATCGGTTAATCAATATGTAACACGACTATTTCGGACGTTTCCTGAACAATTTTGAACTCATCAGTGATTCAAGAGTTGCGTATGTGATAAAAGATATCAGTCGGGTAAGAATAGAGTATAAAGGGTGTGTCATAAGTTCTGATCCCATCGGTATTTTGACTATAACTTTTTTTCATTTTGATCTATAAAGCTGATTGTTTTTGCAAAAGATGCACCGTGAAATTCTCTACAAAATCATAATCAAACTTATTTCTGTAGAAAGTTAAGAAAAAAAAATTACATGAAGATTATCCAACACATAAAAAATACCCAACTATCGAAGCTAACGGGTGTCCCATAATCAATGGCCACTATTTGTATCTCTTTTTTTATCACCTAGTACGTTTATTTTAACAGCAAAGCATACCATAAGATGCAGCGTACAAAGCTCTACAAGTTGCATTAAAAAACTTATTTTATATATGCACTCTTCGTTTTCAAAATGGGTAAATATCTGTGCAACCAATTTTCGACGCTGCGAATAAGATGATTTATTTGTCGCACAGAATTTTACTTATTTTAAAAACAAAAGGTGAATCTATGTATAATAAATTGTTCTTGGTAAATTGTAGAGCTTTGTACGCTGCATCTTATGGTATACATCGCTATTAAAATAAACGTACTAGATGATAAAAAAAAAGATACAAATAGTGGCCACTGATTATGGGACACCCGTTAGCTTCGAAAGTTGGGTATTTTTTATGTGTTGGATAATCTTCATGTAATTTTTTTTCTTAACTTTCTACAGAAATAAGTTTGATTATGATTTTGTAGAGAATTTCACGGTGCATCTTTTGGAAAAACAATCAGCTTTATAGATCAAAATGAAAAAAAGTTATAGTCAAAATACCGATGGGATCAGAACTTATGACACACCCTTTATGCAGCTCATGGTAAAATCACCCGGTAGATATTCTCGTATTAATTACCCTGTGGGCCAGGAAAGGCATTTTTCGGCCACCCGAATGGCCATCCGTCTCGATCTAACAAGGTGTATTCTTGTTCCAATCCAAACAAGGGCTTCTGGTCAGCTACTGCTTTCATAGTTTTTTCACAGGCCGCACGCCAATTAGTCTCTAAAGATAAACAGATTTGAACATGCTTCTCTGTAATTTCAAAGTCTCACGTGTTGGCTTCTTCTGTGCATCGTACGTTTCACATAATACCAGTTTGTTCTCTGCTCCCAACATAAATGGGTCTTTAAACATTGCTACTGGTTTTAAATAAACATCTGAGTTTCCACCATGAGCTTGTCCTGTCGAACTTCCATCGAACATCCACCAGGAAAGTTCTTCAATACTCTTTGGCTCCTTTTTAAGAGTTTTTGTCTTTGATCGCACCTGTTCTCCAGTGCCATCTATCCAAATGTATGTGGCCAATATATGATTCGCCGGTTGTGGTAGGGATATGTATTTGTTTGTAACTAGCCTATCAAGCGGACGGATATTCGTCGTACTCGAGATTTTGAATGCGGTACGGGATGGGACCACAACAAGTGATCGTGAGTTGAGAAGCTAAAAAGGTTAAAAAGTATAACAAACAAGAGTCAGAAGATATCATTTTTTATGCTTACCATCTTTAGCAATGCTCGATGCGATTGGCCGAAACACTTCATTGTCTCGTAATAAAGTCAAAGCGCGCCGGATACGAATCAAAGATGTTTAATGAAATGTTCTAAAATGAATTTTTTTCAACTTGCTCTTGCGTTTCTGCTGATTTCAATCAAAGGGAGAGGGAGACTTTTTCATATGTTTCTTTCGCCTCTTGAGAACTAAAGAAACGTCATGTGTTGTCTGTATGATCATATAGTCGAGGCGAAGAAAATTCATTGATGGTGTGGACGGTTTTTTATAGCTTACCACCAAATATCGAATATTTCCTCTCAAGTAGCAGTACCTACGTATCACCGAAGAGCACATCCGTAAGAAGTGTTTCAGTTCAATGAAATTTGGGTTTTCGGACTGAACATAGTGTATTACATACATATACGTCTTCGTTGAGATTGTGAAGGAATATTTCTGCTTCTAAACCAAAACATCAAGCCAAAAGTGAATTGCGTAGGCGGAGAAAGAAAAAAAAGCCTCGCCCAAGAATCAAACCTGTTGTGTGCACGATACGCTATCACTGATGATGCGACAGCTGGTGAGTGAATGCTTTTTCTTTTATCGTGTTCGTTGTTTTCTTACAAAACTCAGTACACTAGCATATGAGAAAATGCACTGACTTGTGCTTGGAAACCACCCAACACACAAGAAAAAAAGGCAACGACTCGCAATATATTGCATTATCAATGATAACGCATCGTGTACAGAACATATCTAGGTCACAGAGGTCCAACCAGGCCACTAGGCCTGCCTGCCTGTCACAGGCACAGGCCACGTTTTTTAGGCCTGGCCTATGACAGGCAGGCCAGGCAAGCCGCTTAAAATACCAGGCCGCCTGGCCTGTCTATATTCTTTATAAATATAGCTTTTTTTCAATATACATTTTTTTAAACAAATTGAGGGTAATGCTAGCGATCGGGAGAAGTATAGAATAATGTTCTGCTTTCGTGGTGATTGATCGAGGGGATGACTAATGTTCAATTCAAATCGTAGAGTTGCTCTTCTTTATCTATTCACTCTTCATGTTCTCATTTCTCTATATTTTTTTATTATTGATTGTTGTTAAAATCTTTCTTATCGATTATTGTTGAGATATTTACTTTTGACTGTAAAAGTCTTTATTGTTTTTGTTAAACTTATGTGTTAGCATTTCAATTGTCTTTCATCGTGAAATGGGTGATNGTAGAAAAACTAATCTCATTTTTATTCCGATATTAAAAAAATTGAAAAATGTTCTCGAAAATTTTTTAAACTAAGATCAGGTGGAGCTCATATAGGAAAAAGATATCGGTATGCATTCAACGCGTGTAAATATATGCTCGAGGTGAGCTGGGCAAGATGAATAGTGTTGACATGCAGAAAAAATGTTAATTGGTTAGTCGAACCATTTCGGCAACATATGACAGTCGACGCTAGATTCAATAGAAAAACTCACGAGTGAGTTAAACAAGTTGACAGAAGCGAAAGTATTCAACTATTATTAGATGAATTCGTAGTGGTTGTTCCGTCGAAAAAGCCACAAATCCACACTAGAACATGGACCCATTGCTACTATTCGGTGAATTTTTGTTCTTGTGATCAATTCAAGCAGTGATGGCGGTCTGCACTCTCTGTATAATATGAGCCCTACTAAACCTTTTTAGGTTCTAGCCAAGACATGGTCCAGTGAGATTCTACTAGGAGAAGCACGCATTTAGTGTTAACTTTTTAAAAGGTGAGGTGACTCGAGCAACCTGTATTTCATCGCCTCTTATCTGCATGAGTCTTGAATTACTCGAATCGGTTATCTTCTATATTTCACTACTGCAAATACGCTCTCGAAGAATTTTACGCATATATCATATTATGGGAAATTCAAAAGCTCTAGAATTTATTTGAAAACATTATGACACAAGCGATGTAAAACAAAGTTAAATAAGCGGTACGAAATGAGTAAATCTTTTGCATAATGTCCTTATCTTTCCTATCCCCAGCCTTTATTCTTCTTGGATATTTCCATAAGATTTCTACCATGTTATATGAAAGTATCCCCTGTTACCATGAACATCTTAGCGTTTGCAGATCTTGATTAACGGATGTGGCTCGAGTAAACGTCTGTAAAAATGCTATAGACTGCTAAAAAAATTAACTGACCAAAAGAAAGATGCTATTTATGAAGCCTCAGCATGTGGAAGCAATGCCATTGTACTGACTATTTCATCTGAGATTTTTTACAGACTCAACGAACTATCATCAAACTCACTTGATTCCGCCAGGTTTTCGCATTTCCTCCACCGAAAAATTTGTATGACATCCAGCTCCATTCCAATCACCAATGTCCATGGGTTTTGGATCGAACGTGGCTTGAATTCCGTATTCTTCTGCGATTCTTTGCAGAATATAACGACTTATCCATAACTGATCACTAGCAGCAATACCTAATGTTGGACCGATTTGATATTCCCATTGGCTAGGCATTACTTCAGCATTAGTACCGCCGATGTCCAAACCGGCATACAGACAAGCTCGATAGTGTGCTTCGACCAAATCACGGCCATAAGTCTGACAAGCACCAACACCACAGTAATATGGTCCTGCAAAGATAGAGAATCGATGAAATATATTTTTATTGTTTTTGAGGGCTTCCTATTCAATGTTTGATTTTCACTTTTTCTCATCAATAGCATTAACTCAAGTCGAATATAGAAGAAGAAGAAGAATATCATTTAAATAAACTTCACACAGTTGTTATTGATATATAATTCGATACTGACTAATATAAATATGTGGAAGTACTTTGGAAATATTGTGTGCTTTAAGAGTATGTATGTATAGGTTCAATGTAGAAGTGAAAGTGAATCCTTCATATCTGTACTACTATTACATAATACGATGTAATTACACAACTATGTTTATAATAGATCGAATTATTCTATATTAAAAAGAATCTGTCTTCTAGTCCGAGTGGCTATTGACATACATCGAAACTGAATTTCAAGTGAAGTTATTGACTCCATACAAATGCATCCAATGATCTTTTTTCAAACTATGTGAAGTCGTTTGAGTTCATATCAAGAATTCATCGTTCAAACTACATCATCGCATAACCATGTATACTTGTTTTCAGAAGCAAACTTCTGAAATCATAGCCGAAGTCAAATTGAAGAGTCCGAAATGCACCGCTTAATAAATATATAAGATGACTATTTTGGCGTCGTCATTGACTCAAGGGCTGCGTGTGCGATAAAAAATATCAATCGGGTCAGAACAGAGTACACGCAGATCATGGTAAAAGTATCTGTTGCATATGCTCGTACTAATTACCTTGTGCGCCAGGAAAGGCATTTTTCGGCCATCCGAATGGCCATCCGTCTCGATCTAACAAGGTGTATTCTTGTTCCAATCCAAACAAGGGCTTCTGATCAGCTACTGCTTTCATAGTTTTTTCACAGGCCGCGCGCCAATTAGTTTCTAAAGATAAACAGATTTGAACATGCTTCTCTGTGATATCAAAGTCTCACGTGTTGGCTTCTTCTGTGCATCGTACGTTTCACATAATACTAGTTTGTTCTCTGCTCCCAACATAAATGGATCTTTGAACATCGCCACTGGTTTCAAATAAACATCTGAATTTTCACCATGAGCTTGTCCTGTCGAACTTCCATCGAACATCCACCAGGAAAGTTCTTCAATACTCTTTGGCTCTCTTTTAAGCGTTTTTGTCTTGGATCGCACCTGTTCTCCAGTGCCATCTATCCAAATGTAAGCGGCCAATATATTATTCGCTGGTTGCGGTAGGGACAAGTATTTGTTTGTAACTAGTTTGTCCAGTGGACGAATATCTGTCGTACACGAGATTTTGAACTTTGTACGACATGGGACGACAACGAGTGGTTGTGACCCGAGAAGCTAAAAAGGTTGAAAAATACAACGAACAAGAGCTGGAAGATATTTCATTTTCTCATGCGTACCATCTTTAGCAATGCTCGATGCGATTGGCCAAAATACTTCATTGTCTCGTAATAGAATCAAAGTGCGCTGCGGATACGAATCAAAGATATGCTTATTGAAATGTTCTAAAATGAATTTTCTCAACTAGCTCTTCCGTTTCTGCTGATACCAATGAAATGGAGAGAAAGAGAGACTTGCTCACCTGTTTCTTTCGCCTCTTAAGAACTATCGAAATGTCATGCGTTGTCTGTATGATCAGACGATGGTGGCGAAAAAAAAATCATCGATGGTCTAGACATCAACCAAGCGGTCAGACAGAACGTATAGAAAAGATATTGCGCAGCAAACGAAGACGGTATGCGTGTCTGTAAGTGAGTGTACATGTCAATGTGAATAAAATAGTGAGTACATTAGAATGCCTGCGGTTTTTATATGGAACTGTGAAAGCACATCGATCACTGATCTAGTGAAACAGTGCACTGGGTCAATGATAGGAAGATCAATTTCCGTTACTTTGTAACTGATCTTTCATAGATCTAAACTGACTTAACTTATGATGGTCTCTGCGCAAAACATGAAACAGTATGCCAAGAATGGATCCAGCTATTCATTATGAATCTTAAGCGGTGACGTCCAGAATTTTGTATTTTACAGACAAGAAATGTAATGATAAACGAAACGATGACATAGTAACGTGTGAAGAACATAGCGCTTCAGACATTTTCATCAAAACTTCGAATTATGGATGTACAGCTCACGTTGATATGAGCGTAATCATTTCACTTTTATCTTGCATCGGAGAAGAAACTTACAGTTACTCTGCAATTATGTTATCAGGCACTAATAACGAGTCACCGAAACTGCGAGTTTATCAAACAAAAGGAAATTTTCGAAACGTAATGATTTTCTTATAAAGTTTGACCAACAGTAATCAAAGTTGAAGAATCCAAATTTGAAATTAGTTTCTCGAAATTTATCATCCTGTGTTACGAGCTACATCTTCTTTAGATGCAGCTCATGACTGGTAATCTTTCTATGGTTGTATATGGGCTATTCTCTTTCGTCCTTCAGTTTCTCTCTCATTCTGTTTTCTTTTTCTATCTTCTTCGATAGGTATTTTGGTTTTCTTTCGTTCGTGCACTGTGAAGTTTTTGATTTTATGTACTTGACATAATTGAAATTTTCCTTTCGTATTCATTGTTATCCTTAGAAACTTTCACTCATTGATGTTTACAACTTGTTAACTAACGCATATATAGTGTTGTTTGTTTTCGTTATCAAAAACATTAGAGATAGAGATATCCAAACATATCGTCAGATACACATCATTGATATCAATAGTGAAAAAAAGGATTTCACGTCGTGACTTCTCGACAAGGGAAGGTATCTCGGGAATCTAATGTTTTTCTATCAAGAGTACTCGAAGTGGTGAATTCTCAGAAACCGATTATAAATTCAAATTCTTCGTGTCGATTATCTCTGCTCGAAAATTATCATAAATCATCATTTTTGAAAAATTACCTGTCGTTTGGTGGCCTCGCAAAGAGAGTGGATGTGAGTGTGTATCTTCTCCTTATACACATTCACACCCACAAATCATTAAAAATAGTGATATTAGATTTGCCCAGATCGATAAAGGATACATTCACCTATCGATCCATGATATTAGAGTTAAAAATCCATTTACGCTTCACCACCTGGCAAACTATTTTGTAAAAATGCACTTATATGATTCAAGGTAAATAATAATCGTAACTATTTAAACTAGCAAAGAAAGAGAGAAGTCATTTTTCAGTTTACATAAACAAGATCTAATAATACCACTAAATTAACGCTTCATCTTTTAGCTAAGTATTTTTTTTCAACCAATTTTGGTTACCACAATCTAAAAACTATGCTTCTTATATCATTAATGCATAAATATTGAGATTAACCTATGTTGGGAAAACAAAATCTAACGTTGTCATAATGCCTCAGTGTAGAAGCAGAAATCAAGTCAATAATCGCAAGTGTTTTCTATAACTATCTTATTTGTGTACTGCTTCATTACTTCGAAAAAATATTACTAGTAATGGTAATATAGCACCCCTGTCATAGACTCAAAAAATAAGAAAATGTTAATTTGACTTTTGATTTCATTTGACCTCATTCAAAAAAATCTTGATTCGATTCGATTTCGGTGACTGATGTGAGATTCATTCAGGCATTGCAAAGATGGAAACTCTGCTTCTTTTCCAGTGAAAGAATCGAAAGGGAGATTGCTTCCGGGCCATCTTCATAACGAATTAAAAATATAGTACCCATTTAGTTTATGTCGTACTTTTAGACGTCAATAATGGCTATTATAGTTTACAAAAATGTTTCAACCACGAAATAGCTGTTGGAAGAGTGATAATGTTACTGTCAATTCAAGAAAATATTTCTTTTTTAACATTTGAGTAAATAAATTTTTTTGTTCTTCGTTGGTGATCTCCTCCCCTAAATCATGGCCTCTTCGAGACGCTCTTGATTGTATGAACAGTCGAAGAGAAATGGAGAGTGTTAGTGTTTGCCTTGTTGGTGAGGTGAAGAGAGTGACTTAAACAAACACCAGATACAAGGCTGCTCTTCCCATGAAAATAATGCACAAGAGGAAACGGATTCTCGTTATCTCCTGCATTCATACGTCACCGATAGAACCGGTACCCGTACACTAGTCGTTAGTCTTACACCGATCAATAACCGGTAGATTGGTCATAAATACTTACGTACTTTAATGACATAAGCTTACTCAAAACGCCTATTGATCTTTATAGTTACTCATGGTGAATGTATAATGAAATTTTGTTGAAACTTGGCTATACCAAATAGCATTATCCTGAAAGGGAGCCGATACCAATTACCATCAGAAGCTGTACGATTGCAAATATCAGATCGGCCAGTTACTAGTAGACCAGCCGATCCATTTAGGTCTAACCTATTTAGACTGGCTCCGACTCTAGTCTCTTCTATATATTTCAGATTTTAATGCAATTATTGACTTCGAATCAGAGCTGTTCCTTAATCTGTGTCATATTATTAGAAAAAAAGCTTGCTTAATCAATAAATAACATAGGAGACAAAATTTCTTTTTTTGTTTCATCACATGTTTCCAAAGAATAATAAATCTAAGACAAACATATCTGAGATAATATTGCGGTAAATTCTGTGACATAAACTGCAGTTTCAACTAATAGTCGAGTAAAATGTTTGTAAATAATACTTTAGTACAAAAAGTAGAACATAAGATTCGAACCACGAAGATAGATTGTTCAAAAATGTTTGAAAGAATAGAAGACAACTTCCGTATTCTAGGCTTGATCGTAAGCTGCTGATCTTCTTGCCTATTTGCAAGAACAAAAACACAACAGAAATAAAACTCATGCTATTCATCAAGGCAACGAGCACTGATTGACATGAACAACTATCATATAAATAGCGTAGACTAAATGCAAATAGTATATTTGTAGTTACTTTTAAATAATGCCCAAGGATGATTGGATTCGAAAAAGATCGAGTGAGTGCAAAAAACTAAAAAGAATATGAAGAGAAATACGTTTATCATCCTCGTATATAACGGTGATTACTGATGCATAAATTGCCTTCTTTTCGTTTTAGTAAAAAAAAGCAAGCAGTTAAACAGAAAAGCCTATATATTATGTTTTTTTTTCTCGCCTCGTATGAAACAGATGTTATCTTTAATTAATATATAAGAAGAGAAGAAAAAGCATACTTTCGTCAGCCTTTTCACATTAACGAAACATGTGCAAGTAATCAATATGAGAGCGTGTATACATACAATTTTTGTTTTACATCTTACACAAAATCACTGTCTCTCGATATTTTCTAATGTATATCAATTGAAAAAACAGACCGATATATCTCTTGAAAAAAAGATAAATTCAATCTGCTGGCCTTACCTTTTTGCTGTTCAACAATAGGCTAAGTCGAAAATACAATAACAATAGAATAATAATAAATAACTGTGCTTGAATTAAAATGATATAAAAAAAAGCAGAGTTAATTTTGCCAAAGCGATTTGTGTTATTTATTAAAATATTTAAATATTCATCGGGGTTCTGCATTACATTGTTAAGCATAAGCGAAACAAGCAAACAAAAATAAATAATAAGAAGTAAAGGGCGGATGTGTGGATGTGGGTGTAATTGCATGTGTGGCAATATGAGAAGAAAACCAAGGCAAACATAATATCCATATCCACACACACTCACGAATAAAAACCTGATCGAATAGAACCTTTCTTCTAGCACACACTCTAATTTCGATATGTTCTATTGTCCAATAAATATCACATGATTTCATATTGATTTAAAACTCTGCTATGACATCATCATTAACTAATCCTTGAGTTAATGCTTATAAACATGATCTTAAACAAAAAGATCAAAAATTTACATATTCATTAAATAAACATATATTTTTAAATATCTATATTTCATTTGAATCTTCAGCAAATCAAGATGGGAAGTAGCTTGAACAAATATTTTTTTATTAAATTTATTTCATAACAAATAATAAAATAAGAAATGAGTTTGTCCTTCTCTGAATTAAAATATGTATCAGCAATGCATTTTTCTTTCAAGTTATAAAATAAACACACACATAACAAAGCAAAACCTAAAATTTCAAAAGTAATCTTTTTAGAAACATTCACCATTTTGATAAAATCGATGAATACGATTAGGATCACGAATAACAATTTCACATTGTCGAAGTTTAGTTATTCGTTTCATAAATTCATCTGAAGAAAATACATTGTTATCTATATATATAAACTAGAAATAACTTACGATAATCGTCGCAAATACGAATATTATTAGTAATTTGAACAAGAGAAGGAATCGGTTTTTGAATCAAATTGAAAGCTAATGCAAGTCTTCCACTAATATGACATGCAGCAGATGCACGAATTTTACGAGATATCCAACTTGAATCAAGATTGTGACCATGTTCAATAAGTTCAATTGCCATATGATCAAGTTCAGCATCAGTTTCTTCAGATCGAGGATAAGATCGATCATCAGGTGTAAATTCCTATAAAAAAAAAGAATCAGAAATCTTTCCTTTTATATATTCTGAGTTGAATAGAAATAATTATTTTACCATTAATTCACCATTTACTTCAGTAATTGACTTTTCATTAATTTTATTTTCTGATTCTTTCTTTTTCATCTGAATAAATCGTTTTTTATGTTCATATCTACTGAAAGATGAATACATTTTAGAGAAAAGAATTGAACCAGCAATAAAAGTTTGTTTCTGATTAGGCAATAAATATTTCATTGAATTATCTAATTTTTGTGATAAAATTAAACGTTGATCGACATATATTATATCTGATACTATAGTCACTAAAATCATATGATAAACAAGAGATCAATAAAAAATATATGATTAATACTTACTATCAATAACTAAACAAGAAAAATTTGACTTTTTATAATCATTAATCATTGCTTATGTTTCACTATTTAAATAATCAATCAAAACCATTACGATATAAATTAAATCAATATAATAAATAAACAAACTGTCATTATCATAATATTTTTTGTTTTTATAAGAGCTTCATTGAAGATGAATTGAATTAGATCGAAAAGATTCGAATACAAATACGAATTAATTACATAAAAGGAATTGACAAAGTAATATGTTTAAGAATTCGAAAATAACACCAATAATAACCTTTGGATATATTAGAATATATGTTATTTGTTTTACTAACATTTGTAGAATATCGATGATGATTAGTATTACTATGAGCATATCGACCTATAATAACAAATAAAATAAAACAATGAGATTCCATCAATTTAATAATCATTGCATCATCTTTAATTTTTGGGAAATTTCATTGCATAATATGAAATATTTTCAATAAAAAGTTGACAAATTTGAATGATGATTGTTAATTGTAGTATCTAAGATTGTTTTTCTTCTGTGACTTTCTGACAGATTATAACAACTGTGAATGAAAAATATAAAGACGAAACACAAGAGAAATTCTCAATGCACTCGTTTTTTCAAAAAATATGTATTTTTTAAACAGATTAATATGTACGTAAGACATTCAAAAAGTTCTCGGACTGATTTTATTTAAAAAAAATAGGAAGCGCTGCCAAATTAATATACTCACCTATGCAGTTTATGCAGTTCTTTATCAATAGACATGATAAGCTATAATGTGTAAAACATATAGATGAAAACATAGAAATACATTTGAAACCAATATCTGTACACTGACGAAAACAAAAATCATAAAAAAGGTCATCGTTCAATGGTAAAATTTCTGGTCCTGTGAGACCATAGCTCATTTATCAGATATACACGTGTGATGGCTTTATATGCTGATCAATTCTTCGTTGATCACCATAGCTTCTGAATGAAATCGTCATTATGCAGAAGAATTATCATAAATTGATAGCAATTTGGATTTAAATAACATAATTGCTAAAACTTGTGTATGTCTGATCATCGGAGACGATCGAGTCACAGCTCATCAAATAGCATTTTAAATGTATCATGCAAATAATTTTGCATGTTGAATTAGATGTAACTAAAGTCGATTCACAAGAATGCTGTATTCTCAAACACGATATGAAGGGGACGTCGATCATATGTAGAATGATCATTGATAGTTCGTTTTTCGCGCTTGAAACGACGAATTCATTCAAATATCGTAGTATATAGTAGAATATTATTGCTGTAAACTGACACTATTTATTCATAAATTTTGAATGACAGCTAGTCTTTTAAAACAAAAACAAAACTTTACTGAAGTTTTAAATATTAAGCCATTGTATAGCAGGTGGTGTAAAATGTGGTTTTATATTTTCATCGATATGTCTCATACAACAGAGTTTATCATGTTCACAGATAAAGGATTATATCTAATCATCATTTTGTACAAATATTTTCTTCTTAGAATATGTATTGCAAACTTGTCTGCCTTTATTGTTATAATTATATCATAAACAATAATGTTTTAAAAAGAAACGATTTCTAAACATCTATCAGTAGTTATAATAAAATATGTTTTCAGTTTTGTTTTATTGACTAATTGATCAAATGGATATTAAGTTACGTATTATCTTTATTCTTAATTTAATATAGAAATGAAAACTTGATGTTCGAATACAAGAATTTTTAAGTGAATTTGATAAAATTTGATCTTGAATTTTGATATTATATTTGTAATTATATAAATGAATACATGATTTTAATATCATATTATAACTATTATGTATACATAATGTTGATTGTTGAATAATAAGATCAAAAAGGTTTTCATAATGTTTAGCAATGTTTAGGTTTTTCATTTTTCAATTTAACTTAAGTGATGATAATGAAATAGACATATTCTAGAAAAAAAAAATTCTAAATTAGGGTACAACTGTAGAAGAATGACACTCACTGTACAAATAAATCTAATTGACAGAGCACATCAAAGAGTGTAAGTGTCGCGGTGTCGTTCTTGTGCAGCTGTACCATTGTATGCACTTACCATGTTTAGCACTGTACAATAATCATATCATTTATTATCAAAACAGTCGACAGAAAAACTTGAAAGACTTTAGAAATCCGCGCTTTTAGAAAAAAAAAACGTTTTTTGCTTGTGTGCAAGGCAGAGATGGATAAGCCAGAAAATGACTATTTATTCTCATCTAGCCACTACTTATTTGAAAGGTATGAAACAAATTCTTTTTGTTTCTGCTCTTGTAGTGATTGTACTGTAGAAAGCAATTAGACGCATAAATCAGAAAAATATATACATTTTTTTATTTGATTTGTGACTTGACTTTGAAAGTGAAGTCACAAGTTGAGTCAAGTCAAAAAATGACTGGATTTGCCATTTTCTGGCGTAAGAATTCTGAAAAACGGACGTGAATGGCGACACTTACATTGTTGACAGATGGATTCTAAATGACTCTTTTCGAAATTGAACGAAACTAGAATACTTGAGAATGACAATGATTTAATTCAACCTTCAAATTTCATACTATAGAAAAAGTTATAAAGAAACAAGAAAATAATTAGCAAATGTTAAAAACAATGAACAAAAGACACAGTAAAACCTTAAAAAAAAGATATTAACAAGTCTGCAAGAAAATTTTTAAACTGTCAGTTCCTTCGTTGGCAACAACAAGATCTTGCTTTCCATCATTGTTGAAATCATTCGCATATATAGAGAAAGGCAAAGATTTATACCCTATTCCGAACTCAATTACATCTACAAAGGCACCATTGCCATAACCAACTAGAATGCCTATAGTGCTAGTGATATAGTTAACTACGGCAATGTCTAATAAGGTATCGTTGTTGAAATCAGTGACCACTATCGAGCATGGACCTGAAGAATCACCAATTGAAAATGTCTTTTGGCTTGAAAAAGATCCATTACCATATCCAAGAAATATGCCAACTGTATTACTACCATAATTAGCGACGACAATATCCATTTGAGTATCGTTGTTGAAATCACCAACAGCTAAACAATATGGACGAGAAGCAGCACCAGTTTCATACATCGTTTGATTTGTAAAATAAAAGTTTTCAGTTCCAAGAAAGATGCCTACATTATTAGTGCCTGAATTGGCAATAGCGATATCTAATCGATCATCATTATTAAAATGTCCAATGATGAACGACTGCGGCCGAGAGCCAAGACCAGTGGTGAGCAACATTTTTTTGACAAAAACTATGTTAATGTGTCCAAGAAGTACGCTTACATTCTTACTATCTCTATTAGCCACGACGATATCTAAACGAGTGTCGTTGTTAAAATCACCGATGGCTATCGACATTGGCCATAATCCCGTTGAATATGTAGTTTGATGTCTAAAAGAGCCATTGCCATGTCCCAGAAGTACACTTACACTGATGCCATTAGAATTAGTGACGACAATATCCAATCGGTCGTCTTTGTTCAAATCACCAACAGCTACGGAAGTTGGTCTAGAGCCAGTTGAATAAGTTCTTTGATTTTTAAAAGAGCCATTTCCGTACCCGAGAAGTATACCTATATTGTTGTAGCCATAATTAACAACGACGATATCAACTCGTGTGTCATTATCAAAATCACCAATAGCTATAGAGCTGATGTAAGAAAGAGTATCGGCTATGTATGTTATTGGATCACCAAAAGTGCCATTGCAATGTCCGAGAAATACATTTATGCTGTGGCTATAATAGTTAGCAACGACAATATCCAAGCAGGTGTTGCTGTCGAAATCACCAACAGCTACAGACTCTGGTGAAGACATAGAAGAATAACTTGTTTGACTTGAGAACGAGCCATTACCATATCCGAGCAGTATATCTACTTTATTGGCAGCGCTATTGGCGACGACAATATCCAGTCGCGCGTCATTGTTGAAATCACCAACCGCTACAGAACACGGCCAACTGACGAACCCTAGATATGAATTCGTTGAATAGGTCATTTGAGTAGCAAACGTGCCATTTCCATATCCGATGAATATCCCGATATTATCATCATTTCTATTAGCGACGACAATATCCAGTCGCGCGTCATTGTTGAAATCGCCAACAGCTACAGAGTATGGGAAAGAGCCAGTTGAATAGGTCATTTGAGTAGCAAACGTGCCATTACCATATCCGATGAATATCCCGATATTATCATCTTCTCTATTAGCAACGACAATATCCAATCGCGCGTCATTGTTAAAATCTCCAACAGCTACAGAATATGGATAAGAGCCAGTTGAATAGGTCATTTGATTCGTAAAAGAGCTTGTATCATAGGGAACATGTATATATACATTGTCATTGTCATTATATGCTACAATAATTTCTGATCGCCCGTCATTGTTCAAATCGCCAGTGGCGACAACAGATGGAACTTGATCAAAACTGTCCCCATAGTTTATTTGACGCACAAACCTTCCCATTCCATCTCCAAGAAAGATATCTACATTATTAGAGCCATGATTGGCCACGGCAACATCCAGCTCAGAGTCTTTGTCGAAATCACCAATAGCGATCGCATATGGATAAGAATCCGCGCTTATTGTAGTTATCATTTCTCTGCCAAAAGTTCCATGTCCATGTCCCTGCAGGAAACCTATATTGTTGGTGCCGTAATTAGCAACAACGATATCCACTAGTCCATCGTTATTAAAATCGCTAGTAACAAAACTACGTAAATGAGAACCATCACTAGATGCAAATGTTATTTTGTTTGTAAGAGTTCCTCTATTATAATGAAGCAATATACCCACATCATTACCAAAAATACTAGCAACGACGATATCCAGTCGCGCGTCATTGTTGAAATCGCCAACAGCTATAGAGTATGGGTAAGAGTCAGTTGAATACGTTGTTTGAGTACCAAAAGAACCATTACCATATCCGAGAAATACACCTACATTGTTGTCATCTGTATTAGCGACGACAATATCCAGTCGTGAGTCATTGTTGAAATCACCAACAGTTACACAGTGTGGAGAAAAACCCGTCTTATACGTCGTTTGCTTTGCAAATGACCCATTTCCATATCCGAGAAGTATTCCTACATTGTGAGACCGTTGATTCACAACAACGATGTCCAGTCGTGTATCGTTATCGAAATCGCCAACAACTATATAACATGGTCGAGAACCAGTTAAATACGTCATTTGTTTTGCAAAAGACCCATTGTCATATCCAAGCAATACACTAACACTGTCGTTTTCGAAATTAGCAACAACAATATCCAGTCGAGTGTCATTGTTGAAATCACCTACTGCTACTGAATATGGTTTAGAGCCAGTTGAAAACGTTGTTTGACTAGCAAAAGAACCATTACCATATCCAAGAAATATACCTATATTGTTGTCACCGTTATTCACGACGACAATATCTAGTCTATTGTCTTTATTAAAATCAGCAATAGCTACAAAGTATGGCTGCGAGCCACTGTAATATGGCTTTTGATTACTAGAAGAGGCAGTTGAATACAGTATTTGATTGGCAAACGAGCCATTGCCATATCCGAGAAGTATACCTATTTTCTGGTGAAGTTGATAGGCAACCACGATATCCAATTGGGTGTCGTTATTTAAATCAGCAACAGCTACAGAATATTGCGAAGTACCAGTAGGAGATGTTATTCTATTTTCGAAGGAGCCATCACCATATCCAAGAAGTACAGTTACAGTTTTGTCATAGTCGTTAGTGACGACGATATCTAAGCGAGCGTCGTTGTTGAAATCACCAACAACTACACAACGAGAACCAGCTGAATAAGTTGTTAGATCAGCAAAGCCTTCATCATAACCAAGTAAGATACTTATGCTGTTAGTCTCATTGTTAACCACACTAATGTCTAGGCGATTGTCATTGTTAAAATCACCAATGGCCAATGAAGTCGAAAAAGAAGATCCGGTTGAATACATTGTAGGTCTTAGAAAACTACCGTTACCATATCCAATTAGGATACTTACACTGTTCGTACCTTTATTAGTCGTAACTAAATCTAGTCGTTTGTCATTATTGAAGTCACCAGCGGTAATGAAATACGGAGAAGAAGTATCAAGCAGATTTGTGGTTTGAAGTATGAGACTAACAGCATNAGTATTCTTCTGTTATTAACGACCTAATTACCATATCACCAGTAATTATCAAAATATAAAAGTTTCTTATTTATTAATCATCTACTTCTGAAAGTATCATTGACGAATAGTTTTCTCATATGATCGTCTTTTGTGATACTTTCTATCGTTGAGAATAGCTATTTGACATATTATATTTATTTTACTGTTTATCTAGTAATAAATTGGAAAGAAAGAATATTACTTACCATTACAACACTTAAAGAATTTAGATCGATTTTATACAAGTGCTGGAAAATTATAATTAATTCAGAGAGCCTTTGTTTCTTGAATACTGATGAATATCAGTCATATAGTCTGTATCTATGCTATTTTCAAATAGTACTAACACTTTCGTTCACAGATGATGAAATGTTGGCCTTGGCAATTTGTCTCATACACTCAAAATAAGATCAGTTTGATTTCGTCGGAATCTTGTATTCAGCAATCAAGGTCGGGATACGACTAGCAAATAGTAAAAGGCAGTACATGGTGGTACTTGTGTGCGGTCATGATTTGAAAGACTTTGTTTACTTAAAATGTATATATAAAAAATAATTCTTCTCTCGAATTATAATTTATTTTTGATGCTACAGACGGCTGATGCTCAAATATTTGAAAAATTTACAAAAATTAAATATTGTCCAAAACGGAAGTATACTTAAGTGAGAACAAAGGAGCGCGTACTGCAATAATGATTCATATCTTATTTGTATCTTAATTAATGACTAAAGATGAGAGAACAATAAAAAACTGAAATGAAAAAAACGCAGAACAAAAATACGAATACACATCAACGGTGCCTAAAGCTTACCGATAAAGTAATTTAGCGACGTAGAAACAAGTAACGCGACGCAAACGTCGCTAACCCTCTACTGAAAGGAACTATGCCATCATGCATACCCTGTGTGAATAAAGAGCTATAGGCCAGAGATCTCAGGCACGCCGAGTTTCTCCGCCTCGCCACGAAGCGAGACGAGGCAAGATTTTCCGCACCACTACAAGTGCGAGTTGATTTCAAGACTCGCCGAGTCAACTCGGCTACTTAAATTGTAATTGTTAGTGATTAAATAGTAAATCATTAATGTTATCTCCCGATTTTATTGTTCACTTCCGAAAGAATTTCTATTGATGATGAAGTTAAACTAATCACAACAATAAATGAATATGAATATTTACGTAAACATAGTTATCTATTTGGCCTGTCGAATAACTTGATTTAGGTCCCAAACAGACTGACTCAATTCAAAGTGAATTAAGAAACATGATTGGTGTTACCATGTAACGACATCAATAACATTGGTTAATTGACTTTAAATTAATTCAGTCTGTTTGGAGCCTTACACAATTACCATTGTGAATTTAACTAATGTGACCTTTGTTATGTTAGCTAGTAGAAATTTTTACGATAAAAGTTTTCATCTAGATACGTATTATTGCTCGGCAAACTATTGTTCTTCTTCTGATCATATTATCGATGTAACAGAAGAAACTTATTCAGATTCTCGCAATGCTGATCATACATTATCAGATATTTCTCGAATGTCCTGTAGAAGAATTTATAATTGATTCATGCGTAAAGATGGAAACCTAACAATAGTCGAAAATAGGAAGAAACATGCGACAAGTTGCTAGTCTCGGTTTGGTTTTCCAGCTGTTACTGACAATTAAAGTGTTGTGGTGATAAAATTAAACAACCTTGTCTCATGTAAACATCGCTATGTAACATATTCTTACAATAATAATAGCATCTCGCAAATGAACAACTACATTTGTTTATGTTCACTAATAAGATCTTCAAAACACTGTGATACAACGTCCTCATCACGTTTAAAACAAAAAATGCTTTCTTTCACCTATAACCGCCCAGAATCGATTAAAATAGGCGAAGAGAAAAGTAAAAAAGTAGAAAACCTTCTTGTAGAACGGTTCCATATAGATATCAGACAATACTCGACCGTCATTGATCAAAAGACTTCGACCTTTCGTTNCATTAAGGTTATATTTTACACAAAATTAGTTGTTGTCAGAATTTCATTATCATAACACTAGATAAATACAGATGAAATGGCATAAAACAATAGAGCTTCATTTTCTCTATCATCCTATAGAAAAAGAAAATTTACTCAAGCCTTTTATAAGAAAATAAGATACCTCCGCCACTACTTTTGGGTACCCCTAAGTAAATTTAGCCAGTTAGAACACGAGATTCTTTTTGAGTTTCCATTCATGTTAGACATTTTACAAATCATCTGTACGATGCTTCACCCTAAAAATGTTTAAATTGTTACTTATAATTTAAGTTCTTTAAGATCTTTATCAATGTGAGAAGGAAACACAATCGGACGACTGTTCACGAGCTTTATTATTCGAATGTAATAACATTGATAACGAAAATATATCATCAGAAAAGTTCGATGGGATTTTTAATCAGGACAATGAATGCTCATGTCCTATCGAATTGTTCACTTCACAATCAACAGAAGGTAAGATCTTTATGAAAACCAGAGAAGATCTTAATCAAGAACACTTTTTCATTTTTCTAGTAAAAACTACAGATATGTACCAATCCAATGAGTCCAACTATTCGATCGATCATGGTCAACCACTAACTAATATCAATCAGGAAAATTTACTGTCATCCAACGATGATATCAAAAAAACTATATGCGATCCTGATACATTAATTGCAGGGAGAACTTCGGAAACAGTATTTCTATTAGATAATAATGAATTAAATTTCATTGAAAGTAGGAATCTTGAAATACAAGAAGCTGTTCAAGACACTATAGATACTATTGTAAATGAATCTGTGAGTATCAATGAGATTCCAGTAATATCACCATGTACAAGTTATCTTATAAACAATTCGGATAATTTTACCTTAAATGATCATTGTCAAACTGCACAAGCAACAGTGCCAAAGAACTCATTGACTTCGTTACAATTTGTACATGATGTTCATCCTTATAAAAAAACACAACATGATAAAGATATTATTGATAATGTGATGGACAAAAGTCATTTATCGTATGTCATGCGTATTCAAGGATACAAGACAAAAGTCGACAAAGGAAAAACTGTTTTACCCAGGCTAAAAGTAAGTTTTAATGGCGAATATTTAGTTTGTTTTTTTCGCATCTTGTTCCATTCTATAGTCTCTAACTTATAAGCTTTTGAGCTCAAAACTAATTAGATCACCATTGATCAAATTTTTTAAATCAATGTTTCAAAAATTAGCATAAACTGCATGGCCAGTACTCACTTTATGTTTTTCACTATTGAGAGAGAATAAGTACTTATGAAACTCATCTAAGAAAATAAAGAATATAACATTCTTTCCGCATTTCATGATAAACTAAAATAATCAATTTCGAAAGTTTTGAAAAGTCTTACGTGCTAGACACTAATATCGCACTATCCATTTTCAGTTTGCAGCAGAACTGTTTCATATCGAACTTTGGGAAGATATCTTTCAATATTACTTTATTTTACTTTAACTATAATCTTGATTTTAAAAGCATCTATTGTAATTCATCGCAACACAGAAAATTTCTCATTTTTATGGTAAATTGAAATGTACCTAGAAATACAATTAAGTATCATGTATTAAAATTACTAGCAAACATTTTCTACTGATCAACTGCTTTCATAGCTAAGCCTGATGAATTGGAAGTTATCGTTCATACTTATTCCAAATGTGAGGATACGAACTCTGCTAGGTGGGGTTATCTGATGATTTTCTTAAAATCCAACGTTGCAGAAGAAAAATTTTATCAAAAATTGTTTTAACTATACTCAGACTATAGAATATAACAAACTATTAACGAAATAGTAAATTTTTCTGTTTCGAATCGTTTTCTTTTTTAGACAATAGAACCATTTTAATTCATACAACAGATGCATATTACAATTTTAATGTGAGAATATTCAAGATAATATTATTTTAGTTAAAATCCTTTTTTTTTAATCAAAAAAGATACTTGTATTATAGAAAACTCAATAGATTCGAAAATCTTAGTAAATCCAAAACGATTTAGATATTGTGCTTATCAGTTTAAAAGACTAAAATATGCAAATCTAAGCGAATTTCTAACACCTCATACTCCGATTTAGCATAATCGATAGCTGGCAATCCAGTAGCTTTCGGTAGGAAACGATTGGTCAGTTGGAGAGGATCCTTATTCAGACATAAATATGCTGCGTATTTGGTAAATTTTGAGCTAGAGCCTTTAAGATTTCAATATTAAGACATTATGTCAATCTAGCTTCTTCCTTTAAGCCTTACATAAAACATTGTTCTATGATCGATTTATTTTTTAATAGCTTCCAATGTCTTACATTTCTATGTATCAACAACTGTTGCTACCCGTTCATTTAATGGTTGCTATTGTGCGAGAAGAAAAAGTCGATAATAAACGAAATTGGTATCTCTGCAGGGATTTACTGTTTTTACCTGCTAACAAAAACAAAATTACGGAAGCTGTGAATCCGATTTACCTAAATCTGAATTCATTATCCATAGAATCTGATGAAACTTTTCCGTGAGTTTCTTTAGACTATAATTTTGACTTTCAGAACATGAATTATATTCAGATTGTTACTGCGATTAATAAATATATCACTATCATCTGCGACAAGCAAATCAGACAACAAATCATTCTATCAACTCGATGAAGACATAGTCAAAAATTTACATCCTGCTCAATATGATCCCAGTTTCATTCGACTTATGTGTATATTAGTGCTAAACCATAGTGTAGCATGGGATATGTTGTGTTTCTCTGATTATATTCGTCCAAGTAAAATAGTCTATATTTAAATAAAAGATGACGACATTATTATTCTTGGTTTATTTGAGAGCAAGAATTACAAACATGATTATTCTACCAATATAAACAATTTACAATGTTGCTTAATCTCAACTTTTAAGAAAAAAAAGGCATCTAATTCAATAAAAATATTTGCTATTTAATTTTGAACTATTTATCCATGATTAATTATCCAAATTTCATTGTATAATAAATTTGATATGATTGTAAAATTGATTATATATTAGTAAGATCTTTAGGGCGATAGTAAACTTCCATTAAATATTATTTTAAACTATTAAGTGCGATATATTTTGTTGTGCTTATTCACTTAAAATAAAATAATCATTTTTCAATTCAACTTTAACAACTAACATTCAAAATCTTCAAACTCTTCACTTTAAAATTGATTCTTGTTATTTATTCTGTTGTCTATTCTGATAAAATAATTAATTAAATAATATTTAATAAAATCATAGAAGTAATAAAAATTAGATAATAGTGAGGAGGTAATGAAGTAAGACAGTAATACCAATTTGTTTCTGTAGACTGAGATAAACGCAAGGGAAACAAACAAATCTTAAGCTTTCAAGATTCCCAAAGAGTTTACATGTCAAAATCTGATTTTCCCGTGTTGGATAGTGCGTATTGTTTCATGGTTATAATTTTACCAGTCACATCGCACTTAAATGCATACAGTTAAATCAAAGCTCTTTAGCATTATATATAATATTTTTGATTTTGAAAAAGAGATTTTTGGACTTACCTGACTGAGTTATTTTTGAGAAAATTAGCGCACGAAAAATAAATTTAATGAGAGAATCGAGAAAATAAAAAAAAAGGATCCCTACATGTATTATAGAATATTTAATTAAGACTCTTTTTTATAAACTTATATGCTTGGGAATAAATAGATTGATATGTATCGATTGAACAAGGAACAATAGGAATTACTGAATAGTTCTGAGAGTTGCTCTTTGTCTTATAGTAACAACGANATCGTATTCGAATAGAAAATTTTATTGTAACTATTGCATCACTTACGTTCTTCATAAATATTGGTTCTCTATTTTATATTTTCTTTGTGATGTCAAAAACATTTCGTAAAGATTTTAAAAAATTTGTAAAGTTATTTTGTAATCGAGTTATTAGATGAAATAGAGCAACAACGAATGACAGGATTATACGAATATAATTATAAACATTATGTAGAATAATATTTGTTGTATTACATCTGGATGGGAAAATTAGTTTTTCTTTTTTCTTTTTTGAATTAGTTGCAAATGTGTCAATCTTTTCATTACAAAAAAGTTATGATATGAGAAAAAATTTTTTTTTTATTACATAGATTATCAATTCATTGATTTATTATATCTAATTGAATTGTTTATAATAGTAGTAGAAATATTTGTTTTAATCATTTTATATATCCATTTTCGCAACTACAAAGAACAAGCCAGTAATTCGATTCAATGCATTGATAAGATTATTATCGTATCCATTATACAGAGTATTAATGTGATATTGTATAGCTATTGTTTGAAGATTTTTTTCTGGTTATATCGATCGACCCTTGAATCATAATGTATTGTATAGATACGACTGTTCATTCTGTTATGATAATAATCGTATTTTATGTGTTAAATATATTTAAGATAATATCAATTCAAAATAGTTCACATATACCAAATAATTATTGACTAGAAAAGAGAATACTAGGACCTTCTTCTTCATCGGTACAAAACAATAGAGATCATAGTGACTTTGATTAAAATGAAAATCAAATTCATAATATGTTACATATTATAAACCATTCGATGGAAAATGATTTATATAATCTGCAAGTATTGTGAAATTTTTAAGCATAGAAATATCTTTTAAAATCCATATTCTATCATATAAGGGGTATCTTGAATGACATCATAAATAAATTGGACGTGAGAAATTTTGAACATGTCCATCATTAATTAAATCACCTTTACATACAAGTAAATATGTATTTTACATGGATAATAAAACTAGTGGATCAATATGACGATGATGAATTATTGACAAATATATAATAACGAATATTGTGCAATACTTATTATTTGATCATAATCAATAAAAACAGGTTGTGCATTTGTTTGGGATATACGACTATTTAATGAAAAATTAAATTCTTCTTAAAGAATATTTTGAAGAGATTTATTTGATGAATTATCTAATAAATAAGAAAATGATTGAACAAATTGTTGATAAAGACTATTTTTGTCTATTTGATTTTCAATTGATCGACATAACGATTAAACTTTATCAATGGTTTGAACATCTAACTATGATGAACGATGATGAAATAAATATTTTAATATCTAGACAAGTTTTTATTTCATTAAACAACCTTCTTCATAAAAAATTTTCAGTGTTTTTTTGAACAACATGCGAACAAACAAAGATCGAACAAAGGAAAAAACCAACAAAAAAACAGGAGATAGTGGATAGCAGAGACTAGTACAAATCAAATAATAAATGTTTAATGAACACGAATGACAGCGCAAAATAGATGAACAAGAAGAAAACCGCAAGAAAAAGAGAAAAACAACACCAAAAAAATAAAAAGTAAAAAAAATTACGAAGTTTGATTGTTTTTTTACTTAACCTAAATAGATATTGAAATCAAAATCTGTAGCATAATTTCACCGGAATAAGATTTTATTTTGATATTTCGCAAAAAATAAAAAAATAAATGAAATACTTTACTAAAGTTAGAATCTAAAGCTGATTAGTTTAAAATCTCGATATCTTTATAGAGTTTAGATCTTATCTAATTTAGTAGATGAATTTTAAAAAATCGAACCTTATATTCGACTTGATTATGATTTGCTTTTATTGTTTCCCGTTTAAAAGTTAATTAAAGCTGTTAAAAGTACTCTAATAGAGTGTAATAGTTGTGTAAATATAGACAGATTCAAATAATATTCTTGACTATCATTAGCAATTTTTGATAAACGTTTAAAATCCCTTTCTAAATCTAATAAATGTCGAGATGAAGCTTCAGCATGTCGTAAAACATTTGCAAATTGTTTAATTGCTTGAGAAAATAAATCTGGTGTTGATAAATTATCGATAATTATTTGCATGGATAAATCATGTGGTGTATCACCATATAACAATAATAACCATTGTTCAGGCGATATACAAAAACATTTAATATATAAAAACATTTATTAAATTTAACTTGAACAAAAAGAAGCAAAAAATTATTTACCCTCTTTCATAGCCATTTGAATAATTTTTGTATCATATGCGCCACGAAGATCTTCATAATTTTTAAATTCTCGTTTAAGTTGCATTAACGAAGAGTTTCTCTCTTGTTGTATCAAATATAAAAACAAAAGCTTCTGATAGAATCATTTCTTTTTATTATCGCTGTATATGTACTTCAAAACAAGATGCACTAGAAAATAAATCATATCAACTGATTCGAAATTTTCGATCTCTTGCCGATTCAATAAAAAATACATCGTTAGAAAGAGCAGAAAAAAACTGAGTAATGTCTAATCATTTTCTCGGAGGGGTACTCCCAATTCCCCAGCAAATTTTTTTAAAATACAGTTCCCAGCTAAAATAGCTAAGATGTTTCGTTCTCTTTCTTTCTCAATAAATCATCTTTTCTTTCGTTCATCCGTTTTCATCCTATTCTCGTTTAGATGAACATGTATAAGTATATATGTCGGAGTTGACTTTAAAATTCAGTTGCCTTCTAAAGGCACCTAGTTGACTTGAAAATTTTTCAAAAATATTTCAAAGTCAACTAGTTGTCTTTTCAATTTTTCACAAATATTTTAAAGTCAACTAGTTGCCTTTAAAAGGCAACTGAATTTCAAAGTCAACTCCCACATATATTTCTAGTCCATCCTATTGAAAAAAAATCACTTGTATAGTCTTCAGGAAAATGTGTGACATTTTTGAACCATAATAGCTAGAGAGGTCGGCCTTTCGCCATTTCATAGAGGATCCTCTGGGCTATCTTTTACATATTTAAAACCGATCAGTCACTTTAAGACTTAAGGCAACCACGTTCACATTTTTCAAAGATTGATAATGAACATTACTTGAAAAGTCGATGTTTTTCATCTTTTCTTAGTCGATCGATAGAGGACTCCAAGCTCTACGCAATGGTGAAAACCGCAGGTTTATATCTTTTTTTGTTCTCGAGTTTTTGAAAAAATAGTCACACGCACGGACTTTTTGGATGGACTATAGTTATTGATTAATATATTTATACACTCTGTGGTATGTAAACTATTTACAAAAAAGGAACTTTCAGTATTCATCATATTCAGAGCGATAGCTTTTGCAAATACTAACGGCAATTTTTTAGCACTCCACTGTATATATATTGTTCTATGCTACCGGCTTCAGTCATTTTTTACTGATGAATAAGTATTTTCTTCTCACATTATAAATATATTTGCTTTTCAAAAACGAGTAATCTTGTGATATTGTGGATTTTTGTTTATTATTCCAATTTGTTGGTGTTGCTCTAACCGAATATTCGAAAGAAATGTTCGCTGTATTATTTTAACAATTCGAATTCATCAAAGTTGTTGATAGCATTGGGATATTACTCATCTAAAACTTGCTCAGTGTAGCTTGTCAGATGATTACGACGATATGTGCTGCATCGTCCAGAGTATTTAGAGCTTATGGAACTTTCTACTTTGTTCCTTTAATCCCCTTCTTTATGTATACTATATGAATGATATAAATATCATTGAACTTCAAGCTTGAAACTCTTTAGTCCATGACCTAATTATTATTACATTGATTCTTGAACAAGTTCAAAATTCTTCGATGTGTTAACGATAGTATTGTGAGTGAAAAAATTGATACTTGATTTACGGATTATTCAATAGAGACAACTTCTAGCAAGACTAATATTTGTCGAGCCAATTGAAGAGATCTATTTCTGCTTCAGTATTATCTGAGGAAGCAAATTCAAGACAAGGAAATCATAGCCTCTGTTAGAAAGTGCGTCAGTGTTTGTGGTATCTAGTACTGCAGTTCTAGGTTCACTGAAGAAGACAGCATAACCACAGATTGTGATTTTGTTGATGAATGAAACGCAAGTTGTTTCGATATGTTTTGTTTTCTATAGTTCAATTTCTATCCATAACCAAAGAAAAAGTTTCCTAATCAATGCCATTTATTATGACACAAATTCTAGATGGTAAAATATTCTCAAATCGGATATCTCCGTAAAAGAATATTCAGACGACAATAGTCGATATAAGTCAAGAAATTTCTTAGCAGACATCAACGATCCAGTAGTCAAAATTTGCATCGAACATGAATACCAATTCTTTTCTATCTTATTTATATTTACACACAAATGAAAAATCATCACAATCAAAATATTAATGATATAAATTGTTCATTTCATCGTCAATAAAAAAAAAGAAATACTGGAATTACAGTTTCGATTTGACAGTTGTAACCGACAATCTGTAATTGTCTTTGAAGTTTTGCACCTCTGGTGGTAGAGGAGGTGATTCAACCAACCCATATCCAAGATCTGCAACAAGCATTTGAGGTGACAGAGTTCGAGGAGTGACTGCGATTCGAGCTAAGAGACAACAAGCAGTTTCTTGATTTTTGTCAAGAATCATCGATTGTGAGATGTAGAAAGCACTTTCATCCCATCCGACTAAACGAGCAATAAACGAAAACCGATCACCTCGTAACACACTCTGTCGATATTGAATTTGAATGGCGCTGACAAGCAGAGATACTTGAGGTTCTTTCTTTCTTCGAGCTTTAATCGTGCCCCATAGTCCAGTGTTCAGAATCAAAGTAAACCGACTAAAATCAGCTTCACGTAAATAGCGAGCATTGTTCATATGCCAGTTTGTATCCACATCACTCAATCCACAATAACCATGTGTGACCGACTCGACCCAGAGATTTTTCTTCTTTTGTTCGCTAAATCGATGTCGGAGACCAAGTTCAACGACACGTATAAAATAACCAACATCGAGCATCTTCCTATTGAAAAATGAACGGTAAAACAAAAATGTCTTGGAGTACAGTTATTTTATCAAAATCATCCTATTGACCAACCAAAGATAACCAATAGAAAATAAGAGGACACCATTCAATTGAAAACTATCGTGAGAGGGAGTACGCTCTCTGTCTCAGACGCATCGTCCTTTTTATGCAAACAGTAAAATTCACGTCTTTTCGATGAAACGTCTCTTCTTAAGTCTCATTTTCATCGATTTTACACATTAAACATCAACAAATTCAAAAATCTGATTTAATATTTTACATATTTCGAGATATTTCTATTTTAGACTTGGGGATATGAAGCGCATATTCAGCACGATGGCAAGCATTTGAAAATTATCGCGAAAAATTTACATCTATCGAAAATTCATTCAAGTCTCTAGGAATCTTAAACATCTTCGATGATCGGGCCTAAAATGTTCGAAAGAGAAAAATACCGAAAAAAATTTACGTGGAATACGGTTAAAAAGGGCGGGTGTGGGTGTAGGTCAATTATAGACTCAAATCTACACCCACACTCTGCTGTCTCTTGACTATCCATTTTTTTAATGCTATTCAGAAATCGATGTTTTGATTTATAGCAGTGATTATTTGAACCGATGTAGGGCTGACATACAATGGTTTCTTTTTAGATTTGTCGACATCAAATTTATTTTCATATCAGATTTAGATCCCAGTGCAGCGATTTGCCATTGAAAGACTGAATCTGTCGACTGATACAATCATCGACGTAAAAATTTCATCACCAACATCTGATTTTATGGAGTTTTCGATATTTCTTTCTCGTTCGACTCATCATTTGAGCCACCTCACTCAACCGGCGATGAAATTATGGATCTAATGAATTATCCCACACATTTTCTGGTTCAACAATCAGATCCTATCATATTTATACAATGCACAAAGGTTCTCAAAGCGATTATAGATAGCGGGTACACTGATCTGCACAAAATCGAAATTTCAATCGAGAATCGGCTTTGCATCGATTTGCAAATAATTTTCTTTCGTCAACCATACACATTTGTGTTACTGCAACCTACAAGTGATCGTTAATACATTGTATTGATCGTGCCATCTATCTGGTGGCTTTGAAATGACGATCTTTCGCGGGAGTCAAGGATGTGGGTTGTTAAGAATAAGGATGAAGAGAATATTTCGAATCCCACCCCCACCCTAATATATCCACATCTATCTCGTCCAGACGTTTAAACCAATAGTCATTAAAACACTTGAATGAATAGTTTGATGAAATAAAAAATGGACTATTCTTATGAGTCACTCAATCATATGTATTGACAGTTTCTCCTCTGGTCGAACGATCAGGATCATCTGAGACGGTTTTGATAGCATGTAAGTCTTGACAATATTTCAGATTACATATGTAATCATAAGGAATATAACAATGATGTTTGTCATCCTACAACACAAACCTATTTATTCTCTATAAACATGCACATGATCTGGTAGATCAATTTTCAAAGCAATCGAACGATAACATGCGAATCTTTTCCAATGTGTACATAATCTTAATTGAATCCTCATTAGTGACAGAGACATCACCATTAGTGAGAACAATCACGCCAATGGTACTCTGTGCATTAATAAGCATTGAATGTGTTGCAGCCGGCATTACTCCACCATGACCGAGAAATCGACGACCATCACGCCGCTCTTCCCAAATCAAACCGAGACCAAAACTAATCAGCGGGTCCGACAAATCAGTACTGGTAAAGTTCGTATTTTGGTATGGAACAACACCGTCGACTATTTGTCGCATTTCGGCAATCGAACGAGAATGCAACAATGGAGATCCATTTCTGATGAGCATTCGAAGAAATAATGATAAAGATTTCGCTGACATCCGCAAGAGACCTGCTGGATAAATACTTACACTATAAAATGGAATATCAAGCCAATTAGATAGATTGCTCTAAAGAAGAAGCTCAGACATTTGCTTGACTAACTGTCGTATACTCTACCTGTTTAATGTTCAATTGTGGCAGTTTTCGATTCCAATGATCAAGAGATGAAGCATTGAATGCATAGTGTTTCACTAATTCATCCTGAGTATCTATATCAGACAGACGAAATCCAGCTTTCTTCGTATCGATATTCAATGGTTTCAGTATCTTCTCTCTGACATACTGTTCATACGGCATTTGTGCTACTCGTTCGACTACTAATCCAGCTAGAGCATTACCGACATTCGAGTACAATGACACGGTACCCGGTGGTATTGGCAACCAGTTTGATGGATTATCGAGATAGGTGTAACAAGCATCGGTTAATGATAGCCTTGCCAATGCAGTATCACCAATTTGCATGAAAGTAAGATATGTTTCTTCATTAATACCGATCGATGCCGAATGAGAGAGTAGTTGGCGAAGAGTGATCGGATAAGAAGGATATTGTGGATGAAAGATACGATGATTTGATGATGATGATAGATACTGATTGATATCAGTATCCAAATCGAGTTTGTTTGCTTCGACTAGTTGCATGACAGCAACAGCAACGAACGGCTTTGATATGGAAGCGAGAACAAAAATTGACTTATCCACATCCATCATGCGCACTGGTGAAAGAGATCGATGACCAAATGCTTCTTGATAGAGAATATCAGTGCTATTGACGACGATGACAGCTGCTCCAGGAATGTGAGCATCGAGAAGAGACGATTCGATAAATGATCGTGATAAGCATTCTTTGGTAGAACTCGATAGAAATAGAGTGAAAACAGTCGATGCCAACAAGAGCAACATGTTTCGTTTATATCTTGGTAAATGGATTACTGACTTTATTAACAGAGAACATTGCTGTATTTAAATGTTAGGTTCTATGAGATTAAATCCTTTTCTCGTTGAAGGAGTGCTTGTTTGACGTCGTTGACATCTTGCTCGTATAATCAATATCTCGAAGGCAATAATAAAAAGGTCAATGCAAAAATCTGTATCCGCCAATCAAGATGATTTAAGTTAAACTCGCAATGAGATGACTACACATGCTAAACATTGATCGATTTATCAGGATGTTCTAGATTCTATTGAATGAGATTTCTGTGTAGAAAATAATTGGAAAAAGAATCTTTAAGAAAATCATCGAACTGATAAATCTCTGCGTATCGTGCAATATAATTTTGCTTTGTATAAGATTGAAAGTGCACAAAACGCAGCATGTCAACTCTACATATAACTGATTTTAATCTCTGTTTATTACGAATTGATTTTGACAACGGGACAGGAAGACTACAAATTAAATGATCGACTATTTTTCGAATTTTGGCATAAATTTAATTTCTTTTATTGGCTATTTTCTAGCATGTTCTTCATTTTCGTGCACTTATTGGTACAACGGAGAGTTAAGTCACTCTAGATAATTGTTACTGTTATTCATTTCTGGGATGAGTTGTAAATACTACTACATTTATTTCGATGACACCACTACCCAATGAGAATTGAAATTGAAGTAAATTTTTTTCTTTTTGTACAAATTAGTTGAACTTCATTCCTCTAGTCTTTGCATTCACAGTGGTCAATCATATGATCATCAACAAGGAATTCGAGTTTTCTAGTTCGAAATCATTCATCGAGAGGCACACATCACGATGAGGGGATACACTCTGAATTATCGAAACCCCATCCAAGACATACTCTGTCAATCGAAAGGAAACAAATAGAAAGAAAAGTTGAAGAACGATCAACATATATCATCATCGAAGAATCGAAAAGTATAGATAGAAGCCGAATGTTCATCTTGTATATCTTCCTTGTTGATCGATCGATGTTTTTCATTATGATACGATAGTTAACAGTTAATCCTTCGTAACATTTGCAACCCACTATATCAAGAAGAGAGCATATATACGGTGATGGAGTTTTAGTTTAATTGTACAACACAAATATTGAAATTGGATTAATCAATGTAAATGTTTTTTTAGCATATCTAATGTCATTTTGTGTTTGAATAGTGAAAGGATTACTTGCCTCTACGTAGTTCGTTTTGAACGGTTTCTAACGCTTTTTCTAGAATTCATTCGTTAACAAGATAGTTTGTTTGAGATTATTTTGAAAATATTGAGGGTGTGGGTGTGGGTATTCTTCTTCTCTCGACCCATATCCACACCCACACCCACATATGTGATTTTAGAACTGTGAATTCTTCAATAGAAATATCATAATTGACCATTTTGAAATAACCATATGAAATCATTTAACGTTGTATTGAGAAAAAGAAAAAGGAACTAATCAAATCATCAAAAACTTTGCCACATTTTTGAATGCATACGAATATTTTGAATCAATCAAATCTTAATGAGAAAAATGTGGACAGCCATATGATGATATTATCTCATTAAACCAAACAAAGTTTATCATCACAATGTGCTCTCGGTTTTCAAGAATTTTATGGTAGAACTACGAAACCATCTTTTGACACTTCTAACATATTCAAAATATTTTGTTTGAATAACTATCACGAAGTCTTGTGCTTTTGAAGCTTGTAATTTTGGAAATTTCGGTGAAATGAAACATTGACCAAGATAATTTTCGTTCAACGATAATATGTAATAGAATGAAATTTCTTTTTTAAATCAAAGCGCTGCTACTTGGAATCTCACTATCGAAAAATTAGTTAGCATTAGTCTCCATTCATAATTCAATGATAATTATGAATTTTTTTTCAGGATACTTATTTGGGCATGAGATATTACGAGACACGTTGCTCCATATTACCACTTCAATACTTCCTCTCACTTATATGTGCCTTGCTTTGCCATCTATGGATGTTTTATTTCGTCTTATATCAACATCACCACTTTCCAACACATTACATCAATAACATATAATGATAGGTAGAAGCGACACTAATACAGTACCTCTTACATCTACAAGAGAGCTCAAAGGTGATATTTTACGGAATCAATTTTCATCAAGTGAGTTAAAAGAATTACAGTCTGAATGATACTGAAAGAAATAAAATTTAGAAAGTATTTAATCATTATAGTCACATAATAGATAGGCATGTCTAGTTATGGCAAAAAATCACTTTCAAAAAGCTATTAAAATCTGTATAACTGTTGATTATAAATTTAGTCGGTTTAGAACACGAGATCCTTTTGAATTTGCATTCGTATTAGACATTTTACAAATCACTTATACAATAGTTAACTCTAAAAAAGTATAAACTGTTACTTATCATTTAAGTCTTTTATGATCTTGATCAATGCAAGAAGAAAACACAATTCAACGACTGTTCACGACCTTTATTATTCGAATGTCATACCATTGATAACAAAAATACAGCATCAAAAGAGTTCAATGTGATTTTTCATCATGACAACGAATGCTTATGTTCTGAAGAATTGTTTACTTCAAGATCAACAGAAGGTAAGGTCCACATGAGAAACGAAAGAAAATCTTAATTAAGAATACTTTTTCATTTCTGCAATAGAAGCTGCAGATGTATGCCAATCCGATTAGTGCGACTATTTGATCGATCATGCTCAACCGCTAACTAATGTCAATTAGATAAATTTACTTTCATCAAACGATGATATTTAAAAAAATATATGTGATTCTGATCTATCAATTAAACAGAGAACTTTGGAAACACTATTTCCATTAGATGACAATGAATTACATTTCACTGAAAGTATGAATCTTGTGACACAAGAAGCTCTTCAAGATACCGTAGACATTATTGTAAATGAATCTATCAGTATCAACGCGGTCCCAGTAGTAACACCATGTATAAGTTATTGTGAAAACAATTCAAATGATCTTACCTTAATTGTCCATTGTCAAATTGCACAAGCAACAGTGCCAAAGGAATTCACAACTTCGCTACAATTTGTACATGATGTTCATCTTTATCAAAAAACACAACACGATAAAGATATTTTTGATAACGTGATAGACAAAAGTCGATTGTCGTATATCACACGTATTCAAGGATGCAAGACAAAAGCAGACAAAGAAAAAAGTATTTTACCTCGGATAAAGGTAAGTGTTAATGAAGAAGATATAGTTTGTTTTGTTTCGCATCTTTTGCCATTCTATAGTCCAACTCATAAGCTTTTGAACTTAAAATTAATTAGATCACTATTGGTCAAATCTTTCAAAAATCAGCATAAACTGTGTAGCCAGCACTTACTTAATGTTTTCTACTATTAAGAAGGAATGAGAGCATTTTTGAAACTCATCTGAAAAAATAAAGAACAGCATTCCTTCAATATTTCATGATAAACTAAAATAATCGATTCCGAAAGTTTTGAAAATGTTTCATATTGAACTTTGATAAAATATCTTTCAATATTACTTTATTTTACTTTAGTTATAATCTTGATTATAAAATCATCTATTGTAATTCATCACAACACAGAAGATCTCTCATTTTTACAGTTAATTGAAATGTGTGTATAGAAATACAGCTAAGCATCATGCATTAAAATTACGAGGGAATTTTTTCTACTGATCAACCGCTTTCACAACGAAAGCTGGTAAATGGGAAGTTATCATTCATGTTTGTTCCAAATATGCACATAAGAGTTCTACTAGGTCTTTATCTGTTGGTTTTCTAAAAGACTGACGTTTCAGAAGAAGAAATTTTTCGCCAAAAAATTGTTTTAACTATACCCAAATTATAGAATATAACAAACTGTTGACAAAATAGTAAATTCATCTGTTTAGAAAATACAGCCATTTTAATTCATACAACAGACACATATGAACATTTTAATGCGAAAATGTTCAAGATAATATTATTTTACTTAAAACTCGTTTTTAGAAATCAAAAAAGATTATTGTATTATAGAAAATTCGATCGACTTGAGAATCTGAGTAGATCCAAAACGATTTCGACACTATGTTTATTAGTCTAGAGAACCAGCATATGCAGACCTAAGAGGATTTCTGACATTCATATTCAAATCCAGTATAATCAATAGATGACAAAACTTTCTATAAGTCTTACAAAAAAAAATTGTTTGTTGATCGATTCATTTTTTAATAGATTCCAATATCTTACATTTCTACATATAAACAGTTGTTGCAACCCATTCATTTAATGGTCGATGTTGTACGAGAAGAAAAAGTCGATGATAAACGAAATTGGCATCTATGTAAAAATATGCTGTTTTTGTCTGCTGGCACAAACAAACCTACGGAAGCTGTAAATCCAATTCAACTAAATCTAAATTCACTATCCATAGAATCTGATGGAACTTTTCCGTAAGTTGCTTTGGGCTATAATTTTGATGTTTAGAACATGAATTTTGTTCAGATTGTTGCTGCGATTAATGAATATATCATTATCGTCTAAGACAAACAAATCAGACAACAAATTATTCTATCAACTTGATGAAGACATAGTTAAAAATCTACATCCTGCTCAATATGAGCCCAGTTTCATTCGACTTATGTGTACACTTGTGCTAAATTATAGGATAGCGTGGAATACGTTATGTCTCTCTGATTATATTCGGCCAAGTAAAATAGTTTATATTTAAATAAAAGATAATATTTTTTTCTTGATTTATTTCAGACCAAGAATTACAAACATGATTATTCTATCAATACAAACAGTTCATAATGTAGCTAAATCTCAACGTTTAAGAAAAAAAAGGCGTCTAATTTAATAAAACTATTTATCCTAGAGTAAATTATCGAAATTTCATTGTATAATAATATTAATACGATTGTAAGATTGATTATACATTAGTTAGATCTTAAGGGCAATAGTAAACTTAGTTTAAATATTGTTTTAAACTATTAAATACAATATATTTTGTTGTGCTTCTTCACTTAAAATAAATTAAGCATTTTAAATTCAACTTTAACAACTAAAATTCAAAGTTTTCATAAGCTTCACTTTAGAATTGATTTACGTTATTTATTCTGTTGCCTATTCTGATAAAATAATCAGATAAATAGTATTTAATAAAATCATAGAAGTAATAATAATTAGATAATAGTGACGAAGAAATGAAGTAAAGCAGGGTGGGGTGTGGGTGTGAATGAAGAGAACATTCCCACACCTGCACAACCACTCTGTCATTGAACACACTGCCGCGACTACACACACTGTTCCTCACTCACCTCATCTCATATGAGCACCTTTGAAGACTCAAGCTTTCCTCCAGTTTATTTCGACACTGTAGAATTCTAAAGCATTTTGCTCTTCCTCTGATGTATTTTCTGCGAGAGAATGAGGGTGTAGGTTTGGGTATGGGTATGGGTCAAAAGTTTATTCATTATCATGTCCAGCTTCACCGACGCTCACGCTCACACCACGCATCGATACTCACACACGCCAGTACCCACTCGAAGGACCGAAGATTGAGGAGGGGTAGGAGAATATATTTAAAAAAATTTTGTTGAGATAGTGTGAAATATAGGAAAAACTCTGTATCTTTCGCTGAAAAAAATTGAAAGCTTTCGGTTATTGAAGTTGTACGTCCCCCTACATGCCCAAAAGCACCAATTGGCAAGTCTACTAAAGTATGGTTGCTAATTTTCATAATTTAAAAGTAAGAAAAAAAACGCCTTCATTGTAGTACATGCCCAACGTCTGTGCACAAACACAAAAGTTGGTTCTACAAAAGAAATTGACCAGGACATTGATCACATGATTCTTATGTGTTTTGTCTGAAACTACAAGTATGCTATTATTATTACCAAGTTTTTTGCTTTCTTTCATTCGTGTCTGGACAGTAAGTAACTATTTGCAGGTAGAATATGTAAACAAAAGAACTGGCGAAGAATCGTAACAGTACATTTGTCTTCGTGCCTTTCTTTCTTTTGATGTGTCTGCATATATTCAATAACACTTTGTCACTAATTGTCTATGTTATTCTATCATGTTGACGTCTTTGAATCAATAAGAAGGTATTAAAATCAATTCAGCAACATTTATTAGATTTCATAAATTTTGTGTCTTCATGGTCATTGATTCACAAGCATATAATGTCACGAAATTCTATAGACTAAGTACCATTAGCATCATATTAAGAAGATCGTCAAAAACTCAACGAATGTTAAAGAATGTGTCGCAAGATACGACACATTCAGCATATTTTTTTTATTAGTTTGAATGCATACTCTTTGTGATGATACCTTGACAAAAAAATTGAAAGCAAAAAAACTGTTGATTTATTTTTGGAAGAAGAAAGACTTTCTGAGAGTTTAAGTATCGGTATTCTCTTTGCCAACACATACACACACACACCCTATATTATAATATAACAAAAGGCAAAGAATAATCTTTCCCGTTATGTTCACGCACTATTCGATAGAGAATTGAAACAGCTCAATTTTACATTTAGAACGAATGAATATATGAGTGAAGAAGTGAAATATTTTTCATGAAAATACTCTATGCCCTAATCTTTCTGAGGACATAAAACATGAATAAATCTCAGTTAACCTGCTTAGTCACTTGTTATGCCGCACAGAATGCATTAAAAGATCTGCTTTTATGAGTTGAAGACTTTTGCTTAATAACAATATCCTTTTTTTTTTATAGATTTCGTTGTTATTCAAGTTTTGAAATAATCAAGCGATGAATCGGCAGCGTTAATTAGAAACGTGTTGATGAATCTTGGAATATGTGGTTTTCAATGTTAAACTCAAAACAAGGTTCACATTGAATTGTATCAAGCACACATGAAATTAAGACTACTAAAAGTCATTTTGTTGATTTGTATAAGATTTGAACGAATTTTTTTCATGTTAAAAAATTCACACGAAGTATCCTTATGACAACGTGTTGCTCTATATTCCTCGTTTGTGGCCAAGTTTGTGTGAGTGATTGCTCATGAAAAAAGAAATTTCTCAGTCTTATACAGATCAGCAAAATGGCTTATATTGGTCTCGATTTCACGTGTATCTGCTACAAGTCAATGTGCACATTATTTTGAGATTCGTTCGATGCACCTTTTCTTCGTATGACTATTACGATTCGTGTATATAATGAATTGTTTTTTGCATCGATTCTCAACATTACAGTTTTGCTCACGCAACTTGTCTGCTTTCCATTTGTATAAAAAGTTAGAATATTAGTGAATAGATGTCTTTGAATAAAGTCTCCCAAAAATCAAAGATTCTAACCATAATGACCAATAATGGCACCAATCATACATGTTCTACGTAAATATTAGTATTTTTAGTTCAAGAAAAAATATAAGTATACCACTCAGATTGTTGAAAAGACAACAATTTATGTCAAAATGTATATTGCTAATTATCAGAGAAAATAATTCGACGCAGTGACTTTATAATAATAAATAAATGCGAAAACCTCGGATTTAAATCCGAGTGTTATGTGTACTGCAAAAAGTGAAGAGATATATTTACTGTTTTTTATCAACCGAGCCATATCTAGCCTATTTGCTTTTTGCATGCAGTTTTTCTGCATTTTGAGACCTTTTTCAGGCGATGTTTTGTTAGAAAGCTACGATTTGGTTCGAAACTAATATCAGATTCGGAATCAGTGTTAAAAACTGAGTCGATTTATATATGTTGTGAATAATTCTGAAAAAAAATTTTTTTTTTGAAAAAATCCCTGTACCCTCCCTCAGGGATGGTCTTCTCAATAATGACAATTTTTTCGATAACTCAGCCATTTCTTGACGGATCCTGCTCATCTTCGAACTCGACCGAGACATTGTTAAGACTGAACTGTGTAGAAAATTTCATCNAGTTTTTTTTTCTTTTTTATGATGGCATCTTTGTTTGAGACAAGTTTTGTAAAAGAAACAATGATCACCTGGGCCACTCGTTTCGTTTACGTTGCGTGAAACAATTGATAGATAGACACGAGTTGTTTCTTTTAAAATGGTCGTTCTTTATTGATGCGAATTGATGGTTCTAGTAAGCACTTTCGAATGTTACATTCACTAACATAAATAAAACAGAAATCAGTGGACATCTAGAGGAACGATATTCTGAGTGCATATAAAGCAGAAAAGGAAAAAAATAGCTTTTATTTGTCTTTCTCTAATCATTTTCCGAGTGAGAGCGAAAGAAAAAGAAAAATCGACATCCTTCAACAAAAAAATATTTCAGGAAAAGAAAAAGAAAAAAACAAGTGAACGTGCTTGTTTTTTTTTTCTTTTGGGTTAGAACACAACGTGTGTAACATTTGAGAGTGTGGAAGAAAAAGAAATAAATATGAATTTTGAATCATTGGCCAATGAGTTACTTATTGATCTATTCGAATATTTGTCTCCCGTTCATCTTCTTCATGCATTTCATGGTCTCAATTCTCGTTTCGACTCTCTTCTTCTTGGTCATTTTCGAACTCATGGTCTTGATTTTCGATCAATATCAAAGCATCATATTTATACAATATGTCGACATCTTTCAGTAATCTCTAGTCAAATAACTTCACTTTATCTGTCAGAAAAAGACGATAGACCTGGACAGATTGATCGATTCTATTATCATGGCTTTACTGTGCGTCAGTTCACTCATTTACAATCATTATCACTGTATCATCTTCATTCTCAAGATACAATGAACAAAATACTATTAGATTTACCTTATTTATCTAGTATTACACATTTGACTTTTGAAGAATGTTGTTTTACATATGATGAAACGGATGCTCTCACTTTTGTGATCATCATATGGAGTTTACCTAAACTTACACATTGCTATATTAACATACAATTTAAGCCACAAATTTGTTTTCCTATACCAAAAGTAATCTCGTCAACTATTGAACATCTATCTATCAGTGATATCGAACCACAGTTTAGTCAAATGGCTCGTCTATTGGAAAATACACCAAATCTTCGACATCTTTCTATAGATTTTCATTTCAATTTTTCTGATGAATACCAATCATCAACTATGACATCAGTCAACACCTTTGAATATATCGTTTTTCTCGATAGAATATCATATTTTAGTGAATTTTCTCAAATGCATGCCAAATTTACATCAATTGAAAGTCGATCTACCTGATATGTATATAAGTGGAAAAACATGGGACAAATTATTCAAACATATTTACCTAAACTTAAAATTTTCCAATTTCGAATGCATGATGAACTTGATAATGATAGTGATACCGAACAGCAAATTGATGAAATATTGAACTTATTTTGAAGTCAATTCTGGCTTAGTAAGCAGCAATTATTTGTTCACTGGGATTGGCATTCACATAGTAGCAATATTTTCCTCTATAGTTTACCATATGCTTTTGACAACTTTTATTTTCAATCTCCTATTCTATCAAAATCAACTTGCCATTATGATAATCAACAATGGTCATATAATTATGTGCGTAGACTTACTTATAAGGCTAATTTATTCGAATGGTCAACTCTATCTCATATTCAGTTTAATAGAATACAAGAACTTTGTGTATATCTTCCTATTAACGAATATTTCTGGTCAATCATTCCACGACTCGAACGATTGACAATACTTGATGTATTATCAAATGATGATATTGAAAATTGTGACATTCAATTACAAACTTTACTCGATAGGATACCTCATGTATCTTTTTTACGTCTTCGTAATTGGTCATCAACGATTTCACAAATGTTATCAATTCGAAAAAAAATTCTTTCACTCTCCCAGTTAGATTTAATGTGGTGTAAATGGTACAATCATGAAGAATGCGTCATATTGAATCAGTTATTATTAGATGTCCAATGCAAAGTGTTATTAATTGATGTTACAAATCGAGCATGTATACTTGAACTTGTTAATACAATTAACAATCTTCCAGCGGTCAATGTTCGATGTCAAGATGATAAATCGAATAACAGTTCAACATTGACTGAAGATGAACTTATCAAATGGTTGCAACAATATCTGCAATCTTCACGGTCGATAACTAGAGACTATTGTCCAGTGCATTGTATTCAATTATGGATTCGTTAATAAACTGATAACAAAATATTAATGAGTTCAAGATTTTCCGAAAAAAAATATTGAGTTACATATGTAGAAAAATGTAATAAACGTTTTAGTACTATAGTTTTGAAAACAAACATTCCCTTTGATATGAACAAAGAGAGGATCAATGGCATTTTGTTCCATCAGCGAGCTCTTTAATGCAGAAGTGTGTTCTTTCGTCAATATCGTGTTGATCTCTTCTATTGGCAAGCAAGTAGATTCTATGCTATGCTCGTTGTCATATGCAAACTGTATATCAATATCTTTTTCTATTTAACGAGCGCTCTTAATAACTTATTCTTACTAATGATAACAGAGTCAAATATCAATAATGCTTTACAGATAACGTCGCTTTTCCTTAACATGTTTCAGCTTTATGACATCTCACAAAAAGAACACCCTTTTTCATCATATAATTTTGGTCATAACTAAGCAGATCATATATTCTAATTTTTGCCAAATTGATTTAGAGAGACAACAAAGAATTTCTTCAAAAATGTTCCAAGTAATAAAATAATACACATCATATGTTATCTATAATTTTAAAAATCTAAATAATAAAAGCTTTATTTTCACATATATTGGAACTCTATAGATTCAAATATTGTGACTTTTCCTGACTAGATACTTTCGAATCCAGGGTGGGGTGTGGGCAGAGTTGGAACCGGTCCGGTAAAACGGTACCGGTCCGGCCGGACCGGAACCGGACCGGACCGGAACCGGACCGGACCGGACCGGTTCAGAAATTCAACCGGGCCGGAAAATACCGGAAATTTGCCGGTTGAAATTTAAAAATAAATATCTTTATTTAACTGCCTTTTTGTAAAAAAAAGGGATTTTATGAATTTTACTATCAAGAAGATGAAATGATGCGCTATTGATATATACATGTATATATATATATATTATGGGAGTTGCCAGTCAGGGATGGCCCAATTTTATTTTTTTTTCTAAAACCTCAATAATACATCGGAGCAATATGATATTTTTATCAGATGTACTTCACAAGTAGAGCTAGTAAATACCAATCTGTTGAGCCCTATAGAGTGATAGGAGCGATGTATCTCAAGTATTTTCTTGACCTCATATAGTTCAAGATATTTCGTTTAGACTTTGTTCCCATAACTAAGTTCTGCTTTCGAGGATCTGAAATAAAATGAAGTATTATGAAACGTGTTTTATCAGCAAGAACTTAGTTTAGAACCTGGACAAAAATATCACTTGGTGTTTTTACGAATAAGCGATTTCATCAAGTTACGATTCCACAAATCGTAAACAACACGTGCAATTTTCGTTATCTTCTGAAAATATTCTTGTTGTGAAGCTTATATGCTGCTGTCAAGACATCTCCTCGGAGCTTCTTTCTTGATGGGAACCAAGTCTAAACGAAATATCTTGAACTATATGATGTCAAGAAAATATTTGAGACACATCGCTCCTATCACTCTATAAGGCTCAACAGACTGGTATTTACTAGCCCTACTTGTGAAGTACATCTGATAAAAATATCATATTGCTCCGATGTATTATTGAGGTTTTAGAAAAAAAATAAAATTGGGCCATCCCTGACTGGCAACTCCCATATATATATATATAATGTCTTTGAAAACTGTTGCTAGTGTAAACGTTTGTTCAATATAGGATGCATATTAATTGTAATCATAAGCGCACAAGCATGGAATCATTTTTCTTCAGAAGAAAAATATATCAATGAACATGCGACGAGAAATTATTTTGATCGGTCAATGCATACTATCTTTTCAACAGCGAACTTTTTTTTCTTGGGTGTGGGTGTGGTGTAGAGTGTGGGTTTGCATGTAGAAGAGACCCACACCCGCACCCTCCTACATGCTTGTTGAAAGTTTTAATCATATTTCATCACGAATTGAAATTCTCTAAAATATATTTTCAAAATACTTTTTCTAAGCTGAATTTCTTCAGAAGGTGTTCTTATTCTTTGAAATTTAATGAGAAAAGATAAAATTTTCAGCTGTCTGCATTTGTAATATGAAGACCTGTATCAAATAGGTTGAATAGTTCTATTTAACCACTAGGTAATTAATTTCACAGCTGGAATTGACTTCATCGATTCGATTTCTAGCATAGTTTGGCTATCTGGAGTAATTTTCAAGAAAACAGCTTCATCAGTTACCGTTCGATTTGCCGGAAATTCACCGGTTCAAGAGCAGTTTTCAACCGGCCGGACCGGACCGGTTGGACTTTTCAACCGGCCGGACCGGACCGTTTTATCAATCTCTTACCGGTTCCAACCCTGGGTGTGGGTGTGGGCGTAGGAGTTACTCTTCTTAGACCCACACAGTGTTAGCCTCAGTAGATGGCACTCACTGACGCGAAAGGCTTATGCACATCTTATCTGTTTCTTTGATCTCTATTTTAATTTGTTACGTAATCCTTCAACTATAACTGATCCTCGTGATTGATTTTCGTTCGTTATTGTGTGGTTGTTGGTTTTTCTTTCTTCTCCCCGGTTATTATTATCATCTTCTTTATTGTTATATTTTTGACAGATGATTATTGTTATATTTTCATCCTCACAAAATAAAATACATAAAAATATGTTATGTTATTAAATGTATGCAAATGTTACGACAACAAAGTACGACAGACAGCTGTGTAAGCTCTCAAATCGTTGAGCAGACCAAATATTAGCTCTACTATTATACATTCCCCAAACGAGTCTTACACACAGTTCTGGCAAACTTTTTATATCAAACATAGCAAATTTCTAGGAATTTCTTCACTATTACCTAATAGAAAACCATCATTTTGAATTAAATCTAGTTTTTGAACTGCCTCATGAAAGAAACTTTTTCATACTAAATTAGCGAAAATTTCTAGGAATTTGTTATGTTTGATATAAAAAGTTTGGCAGATCCCTTACCATTTAATACAGATATATCCCATTTTCGACAGGCTTTGGTTTGATATAAAATTCATTATTTACTCTACTTGCAATTACAGCGATACCCCCCCCCCCCCCCCTCTCAAAATATTTTTTCCAACCTACTATATATTATATATATATATACAAGTAAGATGATCCATTTCTCTCTCACCCTTTTCGACTTCTGCTTGTGAATGGAGACATGGATGAAGTAGTTCTCTTTGTTATTCTTCGTCTTCTCTTGTAGTGATGTCGTCGAATGAAGGTAGGGTATTTGTAAAAAAGCGTTTCTTTCCGGCTTTATGTGGTTGAAGCATTTCTGCTTGTAGTGGAACAATTTCTCTTTGATAGGGGGTATGCCCCAGCCCTCTACTTCCACCCACACCCCAAACTGGTATAAAACTAAACACTATACTCTTATTATGGTAGATTCGACCGATAAATTATTGTGTAATATATCGAAAACTGATGTAGAAGATTGTCGCAAACCTATTCGTCGTTGTCTTTAATATACAGAATCAATTCGATCAGCTATATTTATAAGTGAATTACATGCAGGTATAATCATCGAGTCNGCAAAACTGGTGTTGTGTTGTCAGTGTTGCTGCTATAGTCTTCATGTCTTCCTCCGAAACAGTGAGTGAAAAAGTTAGTCTTAGTCCTGTTTTTTTCCTGTATTTGAAAATCATAATCACGAAATGAATCTTAGTCATCGAGTCTTTATGTTTTTTTTTCGAGCACGAGTCATAAAGTCAGTCTTATCTCTTCGAGTGTTGACATCTCTCAAAGCTACTGTCATGAGGTCAGTTAAAGTTTTTAAATCTTCATGTCTCTCAAGCCATTGGCATGAATTTAATGAATGTCATTAGTTCTTGAATCCTGTAGAACTCAGAGTCATGAAGTCAACTGGAGTCCTATAGTGATGAAAGCTTTTTGTGTATTGAAGCCAAATCTTGAAGGCAGTCCGACTTCTGGTGTCCGTATTGCTGTCGAAGCGAGAATGTTCATGTCATTCGAAGTCTTGGTGTCATTGGTTTCGTTTCTCTTGAAGTATATTTTTGGTGTTCGCGTTTTTGCCGAACATTTTACCGGATCAGTTCGGGAAACGATATCTTGTAGCGTCAAGAAATAAATATGTACCGTCATTCTCAGAAAGCTTCCAAGATATTTTACTTTGTTAAAATCTTCAAACAGCTGACTCACAAAAGCGGCAACATTATTTTCAAACGATACGTCATGCCATTCTCTCCAATAAACGAACGTAGAAGTTCTTGTAACTTGCGTCAATATATTTGGAAAGAGCTGAAAGGCAAGGTGCATGAGAGGAGCAGTCATCCTATTCCGCAATGTTGAACATTGCGAAATCAGTTCCATCTAATTTCGGGAACTCGATCATCATTCAGCATAATAGATCTACTCGACACCGATCGAGTTTCGCCAATTCCCGGAATGGCGGGAACTGATTTCCGACGGAATTACTCCCATTGCCAAGAAATGCCTTCCAATTCCGGAACTCCTAGGAATTTCGACTTCACTGAATTTCCGAAATTCCGTATCGGAATTGCTAACTTATCTCAGGAACTAACATTCAAACACAACACTCTGAGTGAGAGTGAGGACAAGAAGGAATTCCGGTACGGAATTCCCGGAATTGAGTGAAGACGATATTACACCCAATTCCTGGGAATTCCCGGGAATTCCGGAATTGGGTGAAGACGGAATTACACGGAATTGCCAGTAATTCCAGAATCAGAAGGAGTTCCTGGAATTCCGGACTTAGAAGGAATTCCTAGGAATTCCCTATAACTCCGTCTTCACTCAATTCTCGGGATTCCGGAAATCGACGGGACTCGATCAATATCGTTTTAGCCTGTTCTACAGAATCATGATCGAGTTCCCGGAATTGAACGGAACTGATTTCGGAATGTGCAACATGGCGGAATAGGATGTATTCTCTTTCATTCTTTCCAACTCAAAATGCTCACTTTATCGTGATGATAGTATTCAGAAATCAGTTTTTGTACACAAGATTTCTTTTAGACCGTAAAGGTCCATCCCTACAAGCTATACACCATTCGAT